TTATGAGGATTCAAGAGATAATACATACACTAAACATTTCTCTTGTATTTCTGAATCTGTTTTATCTTATTTTACACATAAGGATTTTTAAAAAGTTACTACTATTACAATCCCAATTATAGCTCTTGGTATCATTGTTAAAACCTGTTTCCTAAAGATTTTATCTATGGTCCTCATTTTTCTTTCTTGACAAAGACATATTAAATCTGTGCTCCTCTTTAGAGTATAATTAAGAAATTAGAATTTCTTAACCATTGTCCCACATTACTTTCATCTATTTTATGTATTACTGTCAAAAATACATTTTCTTAACTGCAATTTAAGATTGATTCAAAATTTTTGGCTTAAAAGATTTTAGTGGATCTATGTTGCTTACTAAATTAAATAAAACTCATCAGGGCATTCAAGGCTTCTACAATATCTATCTTTATAACGTGATCTACCTTTTTTTAAAAATTTATTTATTTATACAAGAACTGGGGTACATGCCAGAAGCACGGGAGGGTGAGAGAATTAACCAGCAAGACTGGGGAACAGAACAGGCAGATGGACCGAAGACACTGCTGAGGGGAGCAGTGGGCGAGACAGAAGAGGTCTGCGCCATCTGGGTAGCTCCTTGGCCGGCCGGGAATCAAACCTGCACTGCAGAGGCTGCAGACAGCTTCACAGCGCTGCGCTCAACCAGCTGCGCCACTGGGGAGGCCCAACATGATCTACTTTTAATATGCTTATATGTAACCTAGATTACAAATTAGACAATTTCTCTCCCTTAACAAATCCAGTACTTTTTTGCTCTGTGACTTTACTAATGCTATTCCTTTTACTGCAACATACTCTCAGACCCATCACCTAACTCAGCATCTTCAAGTACCATCAAGGTCACATAAATATCATACGTTCATTTGTAAAAATCATGAATCCTTTCTTCAGTCTCTCAACAAACTATACAATTTCTAGTCCTATTAATTTTCATAGTATGTATCACTCAAAATCACTTATCTGATTCTCCATTTGACTATGCTTGACTGTGGTAATTTTTTATTCTCCTCACTTACTGGTTATATACTATGTGTTAGTGATTGCGGATACAAAGAATAATTAGGTATGGCCTTTACCCTCAAAGACTTGTAGTCACTAGATTTAAAACAATGACAACAGAAATAACATGTTCCGAATGATTTAAATGCCAGTCATCAGATCTTACGTTTGCTAAGTGACTGTAAACTATTTAACTCTGTGTCTGGTCCTGTCTTGTACTTTGGGCAGAGCAAGCATTATTTACACTCTGATGACTCCAGAGCTTATATTTCCAGAGTAGATCTCTCTCCTGACCTCCAGATACATAAATCCAATGATCGCAAAAACATCTCTAGTGGGATCTTTGAAAATAACTTCAAATTCAACAACTGTTCAGATGGAATCTCTTCTTATACTCCATACCTGATCGGTCCTTCCCCAGTTTTCCCAGCATTTATGTGACTGATTTACCAATCACCCCATCACATAAGTCAGAAATGAGGAGTCATCCTTGTTATTATCTTCTTCATCATTCTCCTGTGTTCAAATCTATAACAAAGACCTAATACTTCTACCTGTGATCATTTCTAGATACATCTTTGCTTTTAGCTTCTAGCACTAATCTGAGGTACGATATGGTTTACTTAGACTTAGAATCTTCTCCTTTCTGGTTGTAGGTATCTACCCGATATTACTTAATTATTTTTCATTTTAGTATGGCCTGATTGTTTGGATGCTGATAATGTATTAAAAATTACATTTCTTAACCTGTTTATTAGAGAGCAGATGGAGGGTCATGTGAGAATTCTGATCAAGGAACAATAAATGGAAGTGGTTTTGCAGTTTTCTGAGAAAGTCCCTAAAGGGACAACTCATTCCTTTCCCATTTTCCTGTTTTATTATTGCATCTAGAGCATCAGCTGGTAATGCTGAGGATGAGGAGGCCATCCGTGATCACTGACCAACCAAGGCCAGGACAACCGGCTGAACAATGCAATTACTGCAGCTCCAGATGCCTCACCTAGTGAGAAGAACACATTTCTTTGTTTCAGTGACTGCATTTAAATTGTTCTTCAAGCCAACACATTCCTAACTGGTCTTGCAGAGTCCACTCCTGCCCTGCTCCAAGTTGCTTTCCACTTTGTTATAGCGTGATCTCTTCAAACTGTAATTTCCCTGACGGCATTTCATTTATCAGAACTTTCAATGATTTTCCATTGTTTTTGGATAAAAACCAACCTTTTTATCCTAATAAGTAATTCTTTATCCTTTAAATATTATAATGTTGTGGAGTCTGCATCAGGTATCACCACTGTAGGACACCCACCACAGACTATTGCGCTTTCTTCCCTCTTTGTTCCTACCCTCTCCACCCTCTCCCCACTTCAGATGCTTCAGTTCTGTAGTCAGCTTTTTTATTATTATTTTTTAAAGATTTATTTATTTATGCATACAAGAGCTGGGGTACAGGCCAGAGGTGCAGGGCGTGAGAGGACTCACCAGAGACAGAGTGGGGAGCAGAACAAGCAGACTGACTGAAATACACTGCTGAGGGGAGTAGCAGGTGAGTCAGGAGAGGACTGCTGTGCCACATGAGTAGCTCCCTGGCCAGGGATTGAACTCGTGCTGCAGTGGCTGAGGATAGATTCATAGGTTGTGTCTTAACCCCTTGTGCCACTAGGGAGGCCCTGTAGTCAGTTTTTAAGGGTTAGATTTTAAGGTTGTCTTTCTCTGGTTCTTCAAAACTAAAATTCTTACTGTGGTCAATGAAGTTCTTCATAGTCTGGAACATATTAAGCCCCCTAACTTGATTTTAGGTGATTTTCTCCCTTGTTTCCAGTATTCTAGCTACACTGGACTCTACACTATCTCATCATGGTACCTCCCACCATGTGGACAGAATTAAGTTGAAAATAGAAGCTCTACAACTTAGGACATTAATGTCTGTGGGTAGCACTGATCCAAGTGGAGTTTTCCAGGTTTTAATGGAGTTAGCATTCATCAAATGCTGAAATGCTAAAACTCCTCATCTTTCTGCTGAGGCAGTTTTCAAACCCGTTTTAAGAAAATACTATTGTTATAAGCCTTTCAACTGGGAAGACTGTTCCTTAAACACAACTTTAAATATGTTACTGATACATTCTCCATCCAGAAATGCACGGGGTTGTGATTCTGCTCTTGAATTTTTGATTTGTAGAGAAGTGTGTCTTCTCTCTTTCTCCACTGGACATGCAGACAGTTTCCTGTGCTTTCATGTCTGTATGAATACAGCAGACTCTTTAATTCAGTCTTTGCTCTGTCATCAGAGGGCTTTGGGGGAAATAAAATCTGGCTGCAACATAGTCCTGTTTAGGCTTCTTCCACTGCTTTGGTGATGAGGTCCACATTCTCTAAAATGTTCCCAAGACTCTTCATAGTATGGTTTCTGCCCATTGATATTTCCAGTCTTGTCTCTTGCTACTCTTCTTTTCACACAGTCTATGTGAATATAACTGACAATTCAAGTGCTGTCACTGTTGGGGAAGATGTTGGCAAGTCCTCACTCACCTCCGTGAACTACTATCCCTTTTAGGGCTCAGATTGATCCTTGAAATAGTATCAGAAGCATGCAATGGCAGTGAATGTTGTTTTAGCTATACAATATTCATCACACTCAAAAACAACTGCTTGTTCAGGTTCTGTATTCCACCAGAGGTAAGAACTTGAGGGTGGGACTTTCTCAATGACACATTCAGGTATCATATGTCACATAATAGATAGTCAATCATTATTTGTTACATGATGACCAGCAGTGTGCCTGGCAATAATGTATATTTAATGATAATTATTTAATATGTGAATAATGAATGTGCAACATCCACATTCACCTCATCTTCTGTTATCCCTTATACTGTGTGAAGTGATATTCAGAAATTTATTTTTTCTGCCCTCCTCACAGACACACATGTTCTTTTATCTCTAAATATCCTGAAATACCTCTACCAATATTACCTTTCATTTTATGGAACACTGTTTATAGCACTGTAGCTCTCCAAGTTTATTTAGATATTTTTCTGCCTCCCTTTATAGTTAAAATGCCCATTAATCCAGCTGCCAAGAATCTAATTCTGTTGAGCTTAATCCAACCACTAAGCATTATGTGTTAGATGCCATGTTAAGAAATGGGAATATGGCAATAATTAAGTAGATACTGCTTCTCACACAGCTTAATTAAAGATGAAGCAGACTTTTAAAGTTCCACAAATAATTACATTTTAATAGGTGCTATGTGAAAGATTACAGGGTGTCCTGAGAACATGCTAGCCTGGCTAGATGCTTGCCAAAATTCTTCTTGTTCCTTGTGGGACACATTTCTATGCAGGTTTCACCTAAATCACAGTGTAAAAACAGTTTCCAAAAAAAATTACTCATCATTAAAATACTAAGATTATTAAACTCATCTTCATTTCTCTTCCAAGTCAAAATATTTTAGATACAAGGAAAAGATGAATTTTCTTTTTATAATATTTGTGATGTATAGAACATTGTGATGCACATTCAAATATTTACTTTAATGTGCACAAGAGTAAATAAAACTAAACTATTTGAAATGATTATTCCAACCATAATATACAGATTGGATTACTTAAAGTGAATTTGGAATAGCAAATATTATTATAAATATTCTGCTTTTCCATTAATTTGTTATTATCAGATGCATTTTTAGTTCTTGGAAAATATTAAACAGCTACGTATTAGTTGGTTTTATGATATCGTCATGGAACAATGTTTTACAAGTAGGAGTTCCAACTTTTTTGGCAGATTAGAAACACAATTTAAATTTAAATATGCTTCAGATAAGTGTCAACTTACATGAATTACAAAACAATAATATTTTTACAAGTTTTGTCCCAGAGTAATGATTCTAAGAATCATACTTATTTACTAAGTCTTTTTTGCCACTTACTGCCCAATGACTAACATTTATCAGAATGTTCACATACCTAGGACCTTCAGGGTGAAGGTTTTGCTGACTTCTCCAGCTTCATTAGAGGCAATGCAGGTGTATCTTCCTGAGTCTTCAGGGCTTGCTTTGATGAGCTGAAGGATCATTCCTTGAGTGCTTATTGTCAAATGGGCATCAAGTCCCAGAGGTTGGCCATCTCTAAGCCAGGACATGCTAGGAGTAGGAGTGCCATCTGTAAAGCATGTCATAGAGGTGGAACTGCCTTTGACAATGGTAATCTCCTCTGTTCCCATTGCATTGTCCATATTTGGGGGTACTACATAGAAAACAAAACAAGCAAAAGTTGTATATCTATTATAATTTAAGATAAATTTAAATAAAATATAAATGACTCTATTATTCTGCAGTGTTTCTACAATATATAAAAGTATAGAATTTAAAACAGCATATCACTAATTAAAGACTTTAAAAATAGGTAGGCTAATTATTTACCTTCTAAAACATTAGCAATGAAACCTTGGAATTGTTTTTTTGTAGAATATGCAAAATGTAAATGTGTTTTACATTATGGCTGTTTTTTTAACTTCTTCAGTTTGACTCCTTAATTTGCTTAAATGTATATTATTTCTAGTAGGGTATTTTCAATACTTAATAGTATCAAGTTCTAGAGTAGGTTTTATATAATCTAACCTAAGTCATATGTAGGCTACAACAAACAGTACATAACTGTGCTGAGATAACCTTGATTATTTCAGAAATAGACTGAGTTCTCTCTCTATGTACAAACAGATATGTGTATGTATAATATATATACACATATATATCCATTCATATTTTAAGTACTCTAAGTAATGCTTAAAAGCATTACTAATATTCTTAGAAAGCAAATTTAATTTTCTCTTTGTATGAAAAAATTGGTCTTGAATCTGGATTGAAATGTTATTTTTAAAAATTTATATTCGAATTGGTGCAAAATTCCAGGTTAGAAAAGCATTTTGATATACAAACAGTTCATTCCAATAAATACAGACCCTTTGGGAGAATATCCTCTCAAATGTGTCAATATCTAAATATAAGCCTGGTGCTTAATATTGTACACATAATAAAGTAATAGAGTTATTTCTATGACATACCCAAGACTTGAAGACTATAATGTTTATTATCTACCCCAGCTCTGTTGGAGGCCACACATGTGTACATGGCAACATCAGACACCTGAGCTCTCACAATCCTGAAAAATAATATAACCCAACATTTTATAATTGATCTCATTCAAAATATACAAGTAATTGTGAATTAAACATAGATTATAGAAGATGACTTATACTGGAAAATTTTATTTTTGTAGTTTAAAACCACCCATCACAAAATATATATACCACAAATGCAATTTATTCTTTTATTTAAGTTTTTTTTTGTTTTGTTTTGTTTTTTTAAAGATTTGTTTATTTATTTATTTATACAAGTACTGGGTACAGTCAGAAGTGCGGGAGGGTGAGAGAATTCACCAGAGCCAGAGCGGAGAGCAGAGCAGGCAGAAGGACCGAAGTACACTGCTGAGGGGAGCAGCGGGCAGCAGGAGAGGTCTGGGCGCCATGTGGGACTCTCCTCCGGTGGCCAGGGAGCAGCTGGGGATCGAACCGGCGCTGCAGAGGCTGTGGGCAGCTTCGCAACCCATCGCTCAACCGCTGCGCCACCGGGGAGGCCCTGCAATTTATTCTACAAAATGGATTAGATACAGCAAACCACTGAAAATATAACACAATTTGAGAGGTTAATATTTTTCAAACATACATTAGTAGAGAACGATGCCAATGTGAAAATCCCATGATTGGAGTAAATATCTTCCTACCATTTCGTAATATAAAGTCTGCTAAAATAGTAGTTTTTGGAAATATGTAAGAGCTATATATATCTGTCTATAAAACACCTATTTTATACAAATTTACTAAAACATGAGGATTGAAACAATAAAATCCTTTGGATTTCCTATTTGTTGTTCTCTATAAAGCCAGAAAGGGGAAAAACAGTAGTGAAAACTTAGGAGAAAATATTTTTATGCTTAAAAATACTTAAACAACTATTTAGATGAAGGCAAAGTTTACAATCACAGTGATTTTGTCTTTGAGTAAATTGCACACAATAAAGCTGACCTGATAACTTGCCCGCCTGACAGCAACCGGATATGGGAAGAGAGAGGCAGCGGAAGTCCATTCTTCAGCCAGCTGATCTGTGGAGGGGGCATTCCAGTGGCTCTGCATTCAATATTTATTGAAGTATCCAACAAGGCTATTATTTTCTCTGCTTCTTCTTTATTACCCCTAATTACAGGTGGAACTGTGTCATGGAGAAAATGAGAGAGAAAAGCAGTTATGTCTTACTGCTCCAAATCATTTCAACTTTAATGGCTGATATATAGTTCTTTTTTTATTTTTTTAATAGAGGCATGCTTTTACTTATTTATTTATTTGTTTGTTTGTTTTTTTGTTTATACATGCACTGGGTACAGTCAGAAGCGCAGGAGGGTGAGAGAATTCACCAGAGCCAGAGCAGGGAGCAGAGCAGGCAGAAGGACCGAAGTACACTGCTGAAGGGAGCAGCGGGCAGCAGGAGAGGTCTGCGCGCCATGTGGGACCCTCCTCCGGTGGCCGGGGAGCAGCCGGGGGATCGAACCGGCGCCGCAGACGCTGCGGGCAGCTTCGCAACCCAGCGCTCAACCGCTGCGCCACCGGGGAGGCCCTGATATATAGTTCTTTGTAGCCCAGAAAGAAACAGCAGTAACATTAACTTTTAAAACTAATGTTAGGCCTTCCCGGTGGCGCAGGTGGTTGAGCGCCACACTGTGAAGCTGTCCTCAGCCTCTGCAGCAAAGGTTCGATTCCGGCCAGCCAGGGAGAAACCCACATGGGGTGACAGACCTCTCCTGTCTCGCCCGCTGCTCCCCTCAGCAGTGTATTTCAGTCTGCCTGTTCTGTGGTACCCTCCTGCACATCTGGCCTGTAGCCCGGCTCTTGTATAAACAAATAAATCTTTAAAATTTATTTGTATAAATAAATCTTTAAATTAATAATTTTTTTTAAAAAAATAAATCTAATATTTCTGACACCTATTCCTGGACCTTTATTTCTACTGATACATTCTTGAGGCAGCAGAGTCATGCGAAATTTCATATTTACCATAGACATTCACATCAAAAATTCGGTCTTCTTCTCCAGCAGAATTAGTAGCGACACAAGTGTATTTCCCCATGTCAGATGGGAGAGCTCCGTAAATGTTTAATGTACTGCCATTTACAGTTACCCTATAGGAAAGGTTACAATAGAGGCAAATCAGTGGAGCAGATCATCTTTTCTTTAAAAAAATACTGTCATAAAATATGCCTTCATCTTGAATATAATGGTTCAAATCTTTGTACTGAGAACAAGGAAACCTCTTAAAGTCAGAGCTAGTGAAAATGATGGTGATTTCAGGCAACCTATCTGAAATCCTACAGAAATGGGTTTCAAATATCTAACATGTCTTAGGATAAAAAAGTTAAATAGCACTATCAGTTTAGGAACATCTCTAAATTATAGGCAAATAAATGTTTTTTCTTGACTTGGAATATTTTATTCTTAGTTACCAGTGTAAGATTTGAATAAAAAAAAAATCACAAAAAATTCACAAAAAATTGAACAATGTTACAAGGAATAATTGAAGAAATTAGCTACCAAAGAATCTAGCTGTAAGCAAATTATAATAGTTTTAATGAAAAGGAGGAAACAGAATAATTTGGATGGTGTCAACTGATATGTAGAATATAGAAAAATCAAAATAAGGGTTATTTAGATAAAGACAACTAACCCTTGAAAGCTGGCTATAAAACAGAAGCATCCATAGGCAAGAGATGGGTAGGGAGGGGTCAGAACAAAGAAGGAGCACAATGGACTATGGTGGTAGACTAGGGGTGATTTGTTGGTGGGTGCACTACACTGGTGATACCTGTTGGAGGTATCTTAATAGTACCTCAATTAAAATTAATTAATTCAACAAAGATAAACTGATGCCATTCCCAGAAACTTGGATGGCGCTGGTGGGATTATGCTCAGTGAAATAAGTCAGAAGTACAAAGAAAAATATCATATGGTTTCACTTATAGGAGGAAAATAGGAGAACCAAATAAAGCATCTTTAAGAAACATAACAATAATAATAAATAAGGGCCACCCCTGGTGGCGCAGCAGTTGAGCGCTGGGCTGCAAAGCTGCCTGCAGCCTCTGCAATGCCGGTTCAATCCCCAACCACCGGTGAGGGTCCCACATGGCACGCAGACCATCTCCAGCCGTGCACCCTGCTCCCCTCAGCAGTGTATTACGTCAGTCTGCCTGTTCTGTTCCCCTCTCTGGCTCTGGTGAATTCTCTCACCCTCTCACGCTTCTGACTGTACCCAGTGCTTGTATAAATAAATAAAACTTTAAAAAAATAATAATTAAAAAAATAAAATTAATAGGCAACTATAAATCAGAGACATTCTGTGGGGGAGGAGGAGGGAAAGGGATCAAAATGGGAAGGAAGGGCACAAGGAACTATGGTGATGGTGCACCAGTGAATTGATGGTGGGAATTTTATGGGTACTACACCTGAGAGAAGAAAGCAGATATTATATAAAAATGAACAATGAGGTAAAATATATATAAATAAATTTAAATGCATAACCCAAAAAATAACTAATTAAAAGAAATGAACAACTCTGAATCATGCATAGGTATATTTTGCAAATTTGTTTCTACAAATTACTAAAGGCTTTTTTTTTTTAATTACAGTGTGACAAATAATAACTACAAATAGGTCATCATATATATCTAAGTTGAGATTACTGCAATATTGATTTTCTTCACACACCGCTATTTATGAACAAAATTTCCCGTGTTTTATAGAGATTAAATTGCAGTCCATAGCTATTTATTTGTCAGTGGTTTTATTAGAATCTCTCAGTGTCAACAGCAAATAATCCATTTCTATCATGTCATGTTAAAAATGTTGTAGAGAATTACTTTGTTATTATTTGGCTCTATTATATTTTTCTTTTTCAAAATATGAATTTTTAAATTACACATATTTAACCACATGAATGAACAAAAGAGCAAGTAGCCATAACCAAACATTACTTTATTTGACTGACAAACTGTTCCACTTACAAACTGATACATACATGTGTATGTATGTATGTATGCATGTATTTATCTATCTACCTATCTATCTATCTATCTATCTATCTATCTATCTATCTATCTATCTATCTATCTATCTACCTATCTATCTATCTACCTATCTATCTATCTAGTGCATCTGCATCTAGGAACAAATAATCAATAGGGAGGCTATAATAAGTTACAAACTCATGTAAAAGGACTGACAGACCTGAAATTCTTAGGAACAGATATTATTTTATAGAAGATCTTCAGGTCCCAGCAACTATCTATTACCTGGTTTGGAATGTGGTTGATATCAGCTCTTTTAATAAAAATAATTAAATATTTATAGTAATTAAGAAACACACCAAAGAGATAAAAATTAAAGTGTATTTGTAAAATATTATTGACAATTTTGAAAAGAGACAAATATCTAAATTCCAATGTACAAAGACTTAAAACATTTATCTTTCTTTTAATTATGTTGTAGAAAATATTTATATTACATTAAATTCATTAACTAGAAAATTCACTCCAAAACTTGAAATTTAAAATATTGTTCAAATGATAACATTTGAAACATACTTAGTTAATGCTTACCTATGCATACATGATTCTTTTAGTAATTATAATTACTTTTATATGTATATAAAATGAAGTAATCTAGCAGAGTAGAGGATTCTGAAATGTCCTTCCAAAGGCATTTATTGTTTCAAGTAGCAGAGGCCCTTATCTTATTATTATTTCAACACTGTGGATTTGTGGCATTGGGTGAGAGCTGAAGACTGAATTTGGACAAACTGCTAAAAGGAATGAAGGTTATGATGGTATTGTATTTTTTTCTCAATATAAATCAAGGAGTATGGCACATTTAGTGCTTTACTGGTTTCAAGACATGAAATCATACCTAAAATTACTGACGATATTTTTTGTCACATGAAAGTAGTTAGCAGGAAGAAGACATGAACTTTGTTATAAGCACTTTGAGTATTTTTTTTTAAAGATTTATTTATTTATTTATTTATTTATTTATTTATTTATTTATTTATTTATTTATTTATACAAGCACTGGTACAGTCAGAAGCACAGGAGGGTGAGAAAATTTACCAGAGCCAGAGTGGGGAACAGAACAGGCAGGCTGACGAAATACACTGCTGAGGGGAGCAGCGGGCGGCAGGAGAGGTCTGAGCGACACGTGGGACCTTCGCCGGTGGCCGGGGATTGAACCAGCACTGCAGAGGCTGCAGGCAGCTTTGCAGCCCAGCACTTAACCGCTGTGCCACCAGGGAAGGCCCAGCACTTTGAGTCTTGATGAATAAAATCAACACATCAACACTAATCAACATTTGTAGGAATGAATGCAATGTCTGAGATTTTATAACAGGGAGTTGATGTATAAGGAACACACACACTCACACATGCACACACACTTTTGAGTGATTCTCCTAGGAGAATTTGTTTCCAACTCTCCAAAAATTTATCTTTTTTCTCTCTGAATAGAATGACAGCCAAGTCCAAATGAGACTGAATTGGTATTATTATTCCTATGAAATAAGATGCATAAAGCATTGCTGATGATCTTATAATTAAGGATGCAAAGACTCTTTAAACATACCGTATTCTTTCTGCTTCACTGTTAATTATGGGCTTTCCATCTCTAAGCCATTGGATCAGCGGGGGAGGAATGCCATTTGCATTGCAGACCAGCTCAACATTTTCCCCTACCAGGACATTGACTTCACTTGGAATTTCAGCACCAGCAACATTTGGAGGAACTTTGGAAAAATAATTAAAACTTTCATCAACGTGACACAATAGATATAAATTCTAAAGAATATATCAGAATCATAGAACAGCATTCCGTTTTTATTTCATATTCTTTTTTTAAAGATTTATTTATTCATTTATACAAGAACCAGGCCAGATGCGCGGGAGGGTAAGAGGATTCACCAGAGACAAAGCAGGGAACAGAACAGGCAGACTGACAAAATACACTGCTGAGGGGAGCAGCGGGAGAGACAGAAGAGGTCTGTCACGCCATGTGGGACCCTCGCCGGCTGGCTGGGATCGAACTGGCGCTGCAGACTGTGGACAGCTTCACAGTGTGGCGCTCAACCGCCTGCGCCACCAGGGGAGGCCCTATTCTATATTCTTCCTAGGTTGTTACTCTCATGAATTACTTTTAAGTGGGGATTAGGTAATCACTTCAATATTCCTGATATATTTGTAAGTTGAATAATTGTTTAGTCATGGGGCTGTTGATAGACCTATACTGTGGACACCCTGCCTGGCCAAATAGAATTGCCCTTGGATTAAATTCTTAATAGATAGCTTAGAATTAGCATGGTTGAGGAGAATTTATTTTTATAAAATCTTTGCACAAATGTGAGAGAAAAGTATCTCAGTTGGTTATTTCTTCACCATGATGAAATTTAAATATTATTTATTCTGAACAATGGATAGGCTTATGATGTTCTGAGATCCAATAATATCTTTTCTCTTTTTCTAGCTGCCCTTGGTTTTCATTTTAATGATTTAATTGAGAAATAAAGTGGAATAAAAATAATGAAAAAGTGTCAAAAACTTATATTTGAGTTCCCTTTCTATATAATTACGGTGGTGTGTTGGCGGTAACTCACACCATTTGCACAGGCTGATTTTGCACAGCTTCTGACTCCACATTCAGTGACATCACACTGGTAGCTTGAAATGGGCCATAATGGGGAGGTTTATACCACAGAAACTCACAAACGGTTGGCTGCCAAGTAGGAGCTTTTTGTCTGGAGAGTCAACTGTTAAACATTTACTAGCACAATACTGCATTATCTGTCCAAATCTCATTTTTGTCACCCAGAAGATAATTACACCAAATTTGAAGAATTTGGAGTAGTAAAGAGGCTGAATCAATAAGAATGTTAAGAGACATGCTATAATGAATCCCTAATATATGACAAGCACTGTACTAGATTCCATATGTGTATACATTATTACTAGCCCTAAGACATAACATTTTTTAAAACTCTGGTAAAATATTTTGCCATATCACGTACCTCAGGACACAAGTTCTCCCTGCAGTACCTAATCCTATGCAAGAACATAGTAGGTGTTAATAGCTTATTCCTATTCTCATCCCACAACAGCATAAAATTCAAGATTACTTGCAATTGATTTAATCCTTTCCTTGTAGTTAGAACATGCTACAACCTCTTCATGAATTAAATTTTACCTATCTATATAAATAAGGGGCCTCCCTGGTGGCTCAAGGGGTTAAGCACAGCACTATGAAGCAATCTATAGCTGCTGCAGCACCAGTTCAATCACCAGCTGGCCAGGGAGATACCCACATGATGTGGCAGACCTCTCCTGACTTGCCCACTGCTCCCCTCAGCAGTGTCAGTCTGCCTGTTCTGTTCTCCACTGTGTCTCTGGTGAATCCTCTCACCCTCCACACCTCTGACCTGTACCCCAGCTCTTATATGCATAAATAAATAAATCTTAAAAAAAAGAGAACAGACCTACAGGGTTAGCATTTAAATTAATAATACCAGTTACAAATAAATAAGTATAATTTAATATAATGTATAAAATAGAAGGTAATAATTTCAGTAAACATGAAAAATAGAGATTATCAAATTTCTACTATTTTTTCCACATTGGTATCCATTTCTCTGAAAATAGAATCTACTGGTAAATATAAGAGAGAAAATTGACAGTTTTTTTGGTTGACCTGAAGATATTTTAAGTCAATTACAAATCATCTCCTTAGAGGTAGACTTATTTTTACTATAAATAGGATATAAGAAATAAGTTGAAGATAAATCACATACCTTGAATTGAAAGGATGTAGTTTTTCTGAGCTTTTCCCTCCATATTTGATGCAATGCATGTATAGTTTCCACTATCTGAAGGCTGAGACCTGGCAATTTGGAGTTTACTGCCTCCAGACAGAATATGAACCTCAAGTGAGTCAGAATTTTCTAGCAGTAGGAACAAAAACAAACAGAACATTAAAAAACTTACTTTTAACATCACTACAATTCACCATAAAAATGTCTTACTTCATGTGATGAGTACGATAAGTACATTTCTTGAAAGGCCTACTTTCATTTTATGATGTACTTTCATTTTAAATGAATGTTTTTGAAAAAGGAAAATGAAAAATCTCTTTATGCGTGATCATTTTATGAGTCTACTTTTAAGTTCTTATTTTAGTATATTAAGTTGTTTTTAAACTAAGCACAGCTATGAGTGTAATACCGAAAATGTGCAGTTTATAAATCTAGCGACTTAAAGCAAAAGAAAGCAATCACAAAACACACAATGATCCTACCTATGGGCTTGTGGCTCTTGAGCCACGCTATCGTGGGAGGTGGGATTCCAGTGGCATCACAAGTCAGGGTCACAGGATTGCTGATTGTCTCAACAACCACTTCTTTGTCAGGACCTTCAATACTAGGTGGCACTGTAAAAAGAAGAAAGTCATGTGTCTTCATTAAGCTAAAACAGGACACTTTTATTTGCATATCTAGGGGAGAAAGAGTTATATTAGAGGCAGATGCTCACCATATACATTGAGGTGGAAATTTTTATCATCCCGTCCTGCTACATTTATAGCTCTACATACATATTGGCCTGTGTCAGATACCTAAAAGAAAAAGATACTATTGTATGTGCTCCATTAAATTATAGATGACCAATCACACTGTCCGAGTGTCGATTAAATCACCAGTCATCTTTATGCTCAAACACCCCAGTTCCACTGTTTCTGCAATCCTGTTTTTTTTTTTTCAATGAAAATAAGCTCAGTGGCATTGATAATCATTTTTATGTGAAAATCACTTTTCACTATAGTAAAGGGAATATGCAACTTCCAATTATCTCTTCCATAATCAAACTAAGGCATCATGACACAGAAACAAGAATAAAAGATGCACCTCTGCTTTCTTGATGTGTAGCATTTGTCCATCTGCTAAAATCTCCAAGTAAGCAGACTGTGTAATCATCCGGCCGTTCTTGTACCAGCTGATGACTGGAGGAGGGACAGCATTTGACTCACATTCCAATGACACTGAGGTCCCCTCTCTGACACTAACTACAGAAAGAGATTCACTGCCATGATCTTTAATGCTTGGGGGCACTGAGGAAAGGAAAAAGAACAGAAGGATGTTTTTTCATTAAAGTGATCAGATAGAAAATATCTAACACCAGTTTAAATTTTAAAAATTTTATGAGGACAATAAAAACAAACCATAAACAGTCAGGGAAACTTTTTTCTTGCTTTCACCAGCCTGGTTGGTCGCTATACATGTGTATTCGCCCCCATCAGACACCTTGGCTCGAATAATTTGCAGAGTTCGACCACCTGTAGACAAATACAATGCAGGCTGATAACTAATAGTGTTTTATCAAGAAAGAAAATGGCAAAATATGTCTTTTCCCTTAGAGCAAATTATATAGATGTGGTTCATATTTAAAAAGAAAGAATAGAATCAGTTTTCCTGAATTCTTCCTTTATTATTGACTCTACTAAAGTAACATTTATAACTTTATAAAGTAAAATTTGTAATTTATTTCTTTCCAGTAACCAAACATGTAGAACTGTTTGATATAGGTTCTAATGAACAAAAAGCAACTATACTACAATCAAATATGTTGGTAAGTATTTTTTGGATTCAAATACTCCATACTGCAGAAGTGACTGTTGGTCATTCTCAAGAAACTAATTTTGAGAGCCTCCCCAGTGGCATAGTGGGTTGAGCGCCGCACTGTGAAGCTGTCTGCAGCCTCTGCAGTGCGGGTTTGATTCTCTGCCAGCCAGGGAAAATCCCACATGGTGTGGTAGACCTCTCCTGTCTCGCCTACTGCTCTCCTCAGCAGTGTCTTGGTCCGTCTGCCTGTTCTGCTCCCTGCTCTGGTGAATTCTCTCACCCTCCCGCACCTCTGACTGTATCCTAGTTCTTGTAAAAATAAATAAATAAATATTTAAAAAAAATCTAATCTTCTTAGGAAAAAAAAGAAGTTAATTTTTGATCATTAAAAATAATCAGTGAATTTATGCAATGACAACACTAATTATGAGCATATTAATCCCTGGAACGACTGAACAGTTCTGTCCCAAAATTTCATAATTTCTTGAAGTAGACCTTATGCGTGTATATCCCCACTCAAATAATAAAATTTTATACACCCTTATCTACTGGTTCTAAATGGGTGTAGAGAAGGGTGTATAGAATTTCCAAATGGAACCAGTAATATAAAAGAATATTAAAAAATAAATGGATCAAGACAAAAGCTTGGAAAGAGGCTAAATTGAAATGCCATTTGTATGAAAAATAGAGGACAATCAGGAAGTTTTGCCCCCCTTAAAAGTAATTGGTTCCTTACCAGGCACAATGAGAGCATGTGTGTTGGGCTTGATAGGCTGTCCATTCTTGAGCCAGTTCAGATCAGGAGGTGGAAAACCAGAGACCTCACAAGTCAAAGAGATGAAGTTGTTCACCACAACAGTGAGATTTTCAGGGTTAGGGCCAATGATGCTTGGAGGAACTATAATAATAAACATGAAAAGTGAAATCTGATATCAATATTCCAATAATAGCAGCCCAACAACTATACTGTTAATGACTGGTTAACGATACTGTTAATTATCTAACATTCTTTTTAGAATTCTCTAATGTATTCATCAAATCCATGACCACTGTATTTGTTTATCCCAATTGGAAGAAAATACCAGAATTTTTAAAAAAGAATGATTGTACATTTTTATTTGTAAAACACTTCTGGCAACTCTTAAGATGACTTTGTCAATGTACAGTGAAAGACCTTAATGTGCTTTTTATTAGGTATGCTTGAATACCTTCATTTCTAATATTACACCCTATTTAAAGTTTTTATTTCCCTATTTATAACAATAATACAACAGAAACTTAATATTAGGATATCTGTCTATAAATAAATTATACAGGTTATTTCAACAATGTAAGTCAAAGACATTTAAGATGTGCAGGAAATTTAAGAAGTAAACAATCCATGGTTTATTATTCAAAGTCAAAAAAGAATGCCTACAGTGAAAGTGGTACAGAGGAAAAAGTGGAGTAGAAAATAGTGAGATTAGTAATACAGTGCCAGTTATACACATAAAAACATATGCATTTGGAACAATAGATGTTTTATAAGAAAACATGTGCATGGAAGAAATAGCAACATAAACAATTGAAATGATTTTCTATGAAGAGGGGAGGGAAATAAGAATCAAGAAATAATACAAATAAATTATTTATGTATACAAATAAAGCTATATATGAATGAATGACTAGATGAATAGAGATGGTTTTTACTCAGGCCAATGAAAATAGAGAGATATGAACTAAGGAAACCAATATAACACACACTTATATTAAGACTTAAAATAACATCAAAAACAAAAAAAAAAATCAAAAAGACAAAATTGTTTTCTTATTTAATTTTCATCCACTAGTTAATTTTAATGTTCATTCAATATGAAAAATGTAAAATACATAACCCACATAGAATTAACAATTTGGTGGTAATGATAGTTATTAAACTAAAAATGCCAGTTAACATGCTTTTGAGTGGTTATACTAGGCCAGGAAAGGTACTAGACACTATACAAACTTCTCTGTTAGATACAGTGATTTTATTTTTTTAATTGAAGTAGTACCCCATTATAATATATGTTTCAGTTGTTCATCATGGAGAATCAACATGTATATGTGGCAGTGACCTTAATTAGTATATTCTTATCCTCATAGTATTAGTGAGGAAACTGAGACACAGAGAGGTTAGTATCTTGCCTAAGAGTTCACAGTAAGTTACTGGAAGACGCTAGAAGAACACCATCTGGCTGTAGCACCCTTCCTCCTAGGCATTGTTCTATACTGCCCAGTAATTGTAAATGTAAAGACTATCCATCAGAAAACTAATCTAGTGTGAGAATTAGGAAGAGGAATTGACATTTAGGAAGACACTTGAAATATCACCAAGGGGACAGAAAATGGGTCGACTTTCTAGAAAGAAGGCACAGGAGGAGTCAGGATGGAGGAGAATGAATAGTCATTTTTCTGACTTAATAGATAGGTGATCATTGCTTTTACTGAGACAAATATGATTACAGGAAAAATGCATTTTTGGGAAAAGATAATGAACTTAGTTATGTATACATTGCCGGAGGGTAACTGTGAGAGATTGTGTCAATAATTAGCAGTTATTTGACTGGAATGGTCTGGCATTCTCAGAGGGTCTTGGCTGGAAATAAAAATTAGGAAAATATTTGTACAAAGATAATATCTGAAATTTTGGAATACATGAGATCCCATAGGAAGAGAATAAAGTTTAGAGCACAGAAAACTAAAAAAATAATAGCAATAGGTAGAGGAGAGGGAACTAGCCAAAAATCAACTGGGGAAGACAGCATGGGAAGGCAAGCTATAAATAAGAAGTATGGGTGTCACAAAGGACAAAGAAAGAATTTTTTAAAAAGATAGTGGTCAAGGGCCTCCCCGTGGCGCAGCGGTTGAGCACTGGGTTGTGAAGCTGCCCGCAGCCTCTGCAGCAACGGTTCGATCCCCGGCTGCTCCCCGGCCACCAGAGGAGGGTCCCACATGGCGTGCAGACCTCTCCTGCCGCCCGCTGCTCCCCTCAGCAGTGTACTTCGGTCCTTCTACCTGCTCTGCTCCCAGCTCTGGCTCTGGTGAATTCTCTCACCCTCCTGCGCTTCTGACTGTACCCAGTGCTTGTATAAAATAAATAAATAAATCTTTAAAAAAAAAAAAAGATAGTGGTCAAGAATGTCAAATACATAGAATTATTAAAGAAACCTGGAAAGTACCTGTTAGACTTAGTAAAGAGGGCATTTTATGAACTCAATGAGCAATTTCAGTGGAGCCGTGGAGGTGAAATTTAGGTGTACTGCTGGAAGTGAGGAAATGGAGACATTAAATATGTATAGCTACTAGAGACACTTACTTTGAAAGCTAGGCATGTACCTGGAGAGAAAGATAAAGGTATTTTTCTTTTAATGAGGGGAAAGATAAAAGTAAATTTAGTGCTACTGGGAAGAAGCCAGATAAGAGTGATAATTTCAATATCTGATAGAAAGAGAGGAGGTGAGATTTCTGTGAAGGCAGTGAACTGGGATCTAGAATTGTTAGTTTTTGGTCTTTAGAAAGCAGAGGGATGCTTCCATCTTTTGTTGTAATGGGAAAGGAAGAAAGAAATGGCAGTAACAATTGAAGCTGATATTCTCAATTTGATAGTAGGAATTGCAAGTGGTTTAGGGGATTTGCCTCCTCTTTTACATGTAAAACAGAAGGTGAAGGCATTTCTAGACAAAATAATAGGGAAGCTGTTATGGGCCAAATATTTGCATGTCTGAAAATTCATACACGGAGGTCCTAATTTCCTGTGAGACTATATTTGGTGATGGGGCCTTTAAGATAGTAATTAGTTAAACTTTATGGGATTAGTGTCCTTATAAGAGAGGACACTGGAGAACTTCCAATCTTTCTGTCCGTGCCTGCCTGTCCAACAGAAAGGACTGTGAGAACTAAGTGCCCATTTACAAGTCAGGAAGAGCCTTCACCAGAATGGAGCTCTGCCAGAAGTTTAATCTAGGACTTTCTCACACCAGAATGGTGAGAAAAATGAATTCTGTAGTTTAAGCCATGCAGTCTCTGGTATTCTCTTATGGCAGTCCCAGCAGTCTAAGACACAGGCATCTGACTATTGAATCTATAATGATGCCAACAGTCCTAACTTCAAGAATTCCTCCATCCATAGTTATGTAGGTGGAAAGTCGGCATTTGATGAGAAGTTATACAGAAAAGCAATTAAGTATAAAACTCTGAAATCAGAGTGCTTGAGTTGAAATCTTGGTTCTGCATTTGCAATCTGTGTAACAGGACCTGTTACCTAATCTCACTAAGCCTTGGCTTTTTCATCTGTAAAGGAGGTATATAAAACGGTACCAACCACCTGGGGCTACTGAGATCATTAAATGAAAGAACAGGTAGAACATTTGGAACAGCACCCGATAGGATCAAGCAATACAGAATATAATGTTGTTACAAGCAGACTTAACCTTTTATCAGCAAGAGAAATAAGACAGGGGCTAAGAGAAAAGAGTAAAAGTTTCATGAAAGTTACGGTGGACATGAAGGAAAATAAAGACACAGAGGCTTGAACAATACTGGGAGGTCATCAGTCCCCCCAAAAGCGAGCATGATTGAAGTGGGAGCAATAAAAGAAATAGTTTTAAGTAAAGATATTATAATTTAAATTATTTCTCCCCAGAATGGATTTTCCAATATGTACATATGTGTGTGTGTATGTATGCATTAAGGTTACGTTGGTTTACAACATTGTACATGGTTTAGAGATAAAGGATGAAGAATGAATTTTACAATGTTTAAACATGAGTTTCTGAATGCAAACAAGAGGTCACGACCCCACTAGTTATTAGAAAGGAAACACACTTGCGAATCAAGTCTGTATGATAAATTGAGGGGGTTGCTGCCTCTCAAGTCACAAGAGCTTCCACTTCTTGTATTTTTACTGTGCATTGAGAAGAGGCAACAGAAAGGAAGAAAATAAAATAAAGGCACACCAAACATTCTTTTAGCAACAGCCACAATGAGAGACCCCATTTCTGGCTTAGGGAGACCAAGTTCAGAAATGGTCATTTGTCTACACCATTTAGGATGCAGTTATGGGAAGAGGTGAAGATAAGGCATAAAAAGAAAACAACACAGCATACCTAATGATTACAGTTAGGGTCTTCATAAGATGTTTTTGATTACATAGGAGAGGAAAAATTAATTCTGCCAAGGTGAACCAGAAAAAATAATGACCATTTATACTTTTCAACATTTATTACACTACACTTGTCAGATTAGAATATGTACTTTCACAATGATTATATTTGTTTAATTCATTTTTTCCTGTGAGCTCATAACACATTTGTTTTGGTCAGATTTACTCATGAAAAAATTCTTAATGATATTTATTAAGCACTCACTATATTACTCACTGTTCTTAGCACCGGGAACACAAAGATGTGAGTCTCAAATATCTGTTACACAAACCCCAAACATAGGTAGGTGTCAATATTCTGTACTAATTGCATCAAAAAGGAAAAAAAAAATCCATGATCCTAAATGAAAGTCATTGCAAGAAAGTTTTTGTGAAATTTCAAACTTTAGCTATTTTTAAAAAATGAACTATAAATTCATATGTGTATCATACATGTAAAATAATCTTTTATGATCACAATTTCCAGTTTAAAATTCTGGAAGCACTTGTGTCGCACAAAAATAGAAGTATTCTTTTGTGGTAGACAACCAGCTGCTTTTTAAGCAAACAAACAAAAAAAATACAGTGTTTATGGAGCATCTAATGTACATTGAGAAAATCAAGTTTGCTGATTGAATTGGATATTCTGATAGTTTTCAATAATTATTTAATGCCAAAGTGTCTTTTTCTTCTCCAGAGAATATATTAGGTATTAGAGCTCAACAGGAATTCTACACTTGAGGACAGAAACTAGTTCCAATCAGAACTAATGGATAAATTTTTATGAGTAGAAGACCCATATATGGTTCTAATTTAATGTAAACTTGTAATGTTTTGGATTTCAAATTCTGATTTCTACTTTCAAATATGCAGGAATCATTGCTTTCTCTTGAGGGACTGAACTAATATAAAAACAGACTTCCTAGAAGATTTCTACTTCATAAATCCTACTGACTGTGGTGGGAGGAAAAGGGAAGAGACTGAATGAATGCAGCTCCACACATTGTTCAAGTTAAAAAATACAAAAAACCCCCCAAAAAAACACATAATCTAAAACACAGCTTTCCTGCCTTTTCAAGCATACGCTAACAGATGTTTTTGGAACTGAGCTCTTACCATGAACATTGAGGTTAAAATATTTTTTGGCACTTCCTGCTGTGTTCTCAGCAATACACACATACCTGCCGGTATCTGTTATTTGAGTATTTAGAATCTAGGGGAAAAAATGAGGAAATTCCAGCTGAAATTAACAAAGCAACTTGTCATAATTGTCATTATTTTTCAAAATAAGCAATGCATTTTCTCTCTAGTCAATAAAAGATAAAGAGGAAAAAAAAGTATGAACATAATAGTGTTGATGATGGTTTTGATTAAAGTCAATTGAATGAATATTTATAAAGATTTCCAATCAGAAAAGGCAATTTCATACATACCTGTGGTAGGCTGACTACAGAAATGTACCAAATTATGCTTTTACTGCCTTACATACACCCTGTTCAGTGTGACTTTGAAGCTCTTTCCATTAAGTAGTGGAATTTGTGTCAACCTGTGATTGGCTTTGACCAAAAGGATGGGGTAGATTTGGCTCTGTACCATCTCAAGCATAGGCCTGAAAGGGCATTGTGTTCTTTTCCTCACTCTTCTGGAACTTTGCCACCCCCATAGGAGAAGGTCAGGACCAGCCTGCTGGAGTGTGTGGTGTCACATAGTGAAGAATCAGTCTGTTAGCAAAATTGAGTCCCCAGAGTTTCAAGAGATCAGCCAAGATCAGCAGAGTTATGACTTCAGTCCACACATACAGATATTTGAGTAGGCCTGGCTGAAACCAGAAGAATCTCTGGCCAATTACAAGATTTGTGAACTAATTAAATGCCCATTCTTTTAAGTCTTCATGTGGCAAGAGTTAGCTAATATAGCAGTTCTATTTATTGATTATGCAGAAATTTCTATCATGTATGTATCTTTTGGTTCTAGACACGGAAACATTTAAGTATTTTGATAAAGGTTGATTACCATCAAATAGAAATATTCATGATGCTCAGAAGATATTTAAAGAATTCAAGTTTCTTTACAAATAGTGGGACTGATTTCTTTTTTAATAAAGAACTCCATGAAGTATGTCCTGTGTTAGATACACAGGGAGTTATGCTTAGACTCTTGGGCCTATAGAATATAACATATATATTCAAGAAATAATTTATTAAGTTGTACCTGACAAAAGAGTTTGTCTTATTTCTATGAGTGCCTACCTTTCTTCTAGGATACTTGAAAAGAAAAATATACCCACTAGAGAACAATTCAATTTATTTATGTGGTTTTCATTATTATTATTACCATCAATTATTGACTGAAATAGGAAAAAAAATCTATAGGGAAATTTATACCACTAGAATTTTATCATTAGAAATATGCAAAGGATTATAACTTGCTTATTATAATGTGGCTTTCATTACAAAGACTATTCATTATATAGTGAATTTAGGAATATGTGCATATGTGTTGTATGCATGTAGTTTCTAGAAGAGTTTACATAAATCTATTAAATGGGAAAATAATTTAAAATGCTCATCGTTGCTAGTGGATATAGAATGAAAAAGAACTTTATATCCTTTTATGGTAGTTGTTACAAATATTATTTTTAAAACAATAAAAATTACTTTTAAAAGTCAAAAGGCAATTATGACCAACTACAAAGTCAAACAACTATTTTAAAGCTAATTTTTTGTTTTACTTTTACCTGCAGAATTCTTCCACTGGATAGAAATTTGTGATGCTCATCTTCCAGCAAGGGCTGGCCATCTTTGTGCCAGGAGTTCCTTGGCGTGGGGCTGCCACTGGACAAACACTCCATCATCACACTCCTGCTCACCAGTGCATTCACCTCCTCTGGGAGATCACTGTTTGCTCCCTTGATAACTGGTGGCACTAATAAGTGATTGCAACAAGAGAGAATGACAGGAAACAAGGTATTTTCTAAATGATTCTGGTTTTCTGACAACTTTAAAGAGTTTGGAATGATAATAGAACTTGAAACCACAACCCTCAAGTCACATATTAATAAAATAGGGTGGCAATAAAAATTAGGTGGATTGGGTTCCTTTTTTCTTTTTCTCTCTCCTTACCTGGGACTAACCTCCCATTTAGACAGTCAAGTATAAAAATCACATATTACCCACAGAATTAAAAATAAAAATGGGAATGTTAAGTAAGTTAGGAAAGCTTGTGTTGGTTGCTTTTGTAAATGTAGAAATTAACTTTCAAAGTGAATATTTTTTTTCTTAGTTTTGAATGCTTATTTTATGTTTTACATTCATAGAAATGTGCCATATATTTAGCAAACAATAAAGACTATGTTTCATGTTGATGCAGTCTTGTGGTATTTGGGTCTCTTACAAAAACTACACTGAAAATTTGTAAGAGAATCATCAAGGCAACAGGCATATCATAGGATTTCAGCATTATACTGAAGACATGTTTTCACAATCAAAGTTTGGTGATTGTCACCATACTTTAGAAAATATAAAACTTGAACTAAAAGTTTACAAATAATTCCATTTCAGTTTAACTGAGAAATAGAAAACTAATGAAATGTTGGAATATAAAGAGTATAAAAAGTTGGAATATAAAGAGTCCTCATCTTTGACATGGACCTGACCCATAAGGAGGGGCCAGGGGGTGCACTCTAGGTCCCTATGACAGCTTTTTGCCTACAGAGACCCCTAACCCTCCTCTGGATGGGTGAACCCCCTCAGAATTGCTCTTAGTGCCATACCGGAGCATCAAATCTTATGTAGCAGCCCTGGTTTAGATGGGATTTGGGGCCAGTTATTTTTTTCTTTCTTTGTTTACCTTCCTAGTCTAAACTCATCTCCAACATACTTTCTAATTTCCTTCTAATTTTATAAAACAACACCCTGAAGGCATGAATCACTCCCCTTGACAACTTAAATCTTAACAATCCAATTCAATTTATTTTTGGTTAAACAGTGTCATTTACTTGGATCAATTCATTTCAACTTAACTGAATCCCAGTTCTCCCCAAACTACACTACTGTGCCTCTTCATCAGACCCTTCACTGTCCTATACTTAACTTTTACCAGATCTAGGTAAAAATTAGGGCCGGCAGCCTGGGGTACTCCTTCACTGGTTGTGATGACATTAACACTGATCTCAATTGTCTTCTCCCTTCTCCTTATAACTATCTTGTGGACTTTAACATTTATTTCAATAATCATCTAACTCTAATTGTAGTTGACCATTAAACAACATGGGGTTGAACTGCATGGGCCCATTTGTGGGTGTATGTTGGTTGGCTGAGCCCAATCTGGTGCCCAATCAAATGGGCAGGGGGGGAAGATTATAGAGCAGATATAGGGGACTTGCATGGCTGTAGATTTTGGTATCCAGGGTGGGGAAAGGGTACAGTGGTGCTAAAATCAACCTTTTGTGGATACCAAGGAAGGACTACAGGTTATATTTGGGGGGAGTCAAAGTTATATAAGGATTTTCAACTAAAGGGTGAGTCAGCTTCCCTAACCCTGCACTGTTCAAGGGCCGACTGGAGTTTCATATCCACTCCAGCTATTCAGTCTGTCGTATTTTGGAGCAATCAACATTGGTACTTCTTCCCCTCTGCCAGTTTGCAAACTCCCTGAAGTAAGACTGATGTCTGCTGTATTTGCTGCTATAGACTTTGCAAAACAATCAACAGATACTTGTCATATAAATAAATTCTGAATTCTAGTGGTTTTTTTTTAATCACTTCTTTCTGGGTTTCATTCATAAGCTGCTCCCTTCACTGAAAACTCTAGCCTTTCCACTTCTCCCCGTTACATTTAGTATCAGCTTCCCTTGAAGCTTTTTCTTCTTGCTTTACCTAAACCTCATAGTAGGTCATTTTGGTAATATTCAGGTTTGGAGATTCTTTGCCATAACATCCTCTGGTGCTTTGGCTAGGTGCATCTTGATACCTGTGGTGCCAACCCTGCCCCCTGTGGTGCTTTTATACATCTTTTTTCTACCTTGTCCTAGGTTGCTATGGATGACTGTAGAAAGCAGCGACTGAGCCAGATGACTCCAAATTCAATAGCAAACGGTCTATCCCATCCCTCATAGTGACGGTCAGTTTCTGTTTTTCACAGGTATTTTCAAATACTATCCCTGCCATTGTTTCTCTTGCTTTCATACTTAACAAAAAGGACTATATATACTTGATATGCATTTTCCTTCCAACCATCCTAGTGAGTGGTAATCCATTACCAGGAAACACTAAAATACCCTTAATGATCTCTTGACTACATTCCCCCTCTTCTGGGACCTTGCTCATCAATCCCTGCATCTTTCACACACACACACACACACACACACACACACACACACACACACTTGAACCTTTAATTTGTCCCTGTATGTTGGATCATTTCCTTTGGCGCAGAATTAAACTCAAATCTCTCTTTAATTTTTTTTTCAAATAAGCTGTTTGTCTTAAAATTCTAGTTCACATCTTCCTTCCTGTGCAAAATGTCTTAGAAGTAGTCTATATTTGTTTCCTTTTATTTCTGATGACTTGCTCAACATTTATTCTCTTGTTCTTTGACTTAGAACCACACCCTGTTATCTAAAATGGTCTTTTGAGATTCACCCATGACTTTTCAGTTTAAAAGTCAATGGCCTCTTTTTCAGTTTTTATTTTTTTTTTAAGATTTATTTATGCATACAAGAGCTGGGGTACAGGCCAGAGATGTGAGGTGGGGAGAGGATCCATCAGAGACAGAACAGGGAACAGTACTTGTAGACTGACTGAAATACACTGCTGACGGGAGCAGCAGGCGAGACAGGAGAGGTCTGCTGCACCATGTCAGTTTCTCCCTGGTTGGCTGGAAATCGAACTCATGCTGCAGAGGCTGTGGATTGCTTCATAGTGTGGTGCTTAACCCCTTGCGCCACCAGGGAGGCCCCTCAGTTTTTATTTTCTTAAAACTAGCTTCAATCTCAGTACTAACCCCTGGATAGGTTTTTCAGTGCCTTGGCATTGGCAACATGGTAGTTTACTGCTTTGCATTAGCTCCTAAGTTTTTCTTCCTTTAACTCTCTTTTCCTTTCTCCTATTTGTAAATGATCCCATGCCAATTTGCTAATTTCACATTTTACCTGGCTATCTTGGTGCCAATTCAAATTCAGTATGTCCAAAACAAAATTGACTTTCCTCTTCCCAAGTTGTGTCATTTTCCTAAATCTTCTACTTTTACTAATCTAGCCATTTTCTTACTCATGCAGGATAAAAGTCTTAGTGTCATCTTATACTCTGAGATGAGGGCCTAATACTTTATACTACTTAATCATCTCTTCTATTATATCTGTTATATCAACTGCTTCCTATATATACCCTCTGCAGTTTCACTAGCTTAGTCTCTTCTAACAGAGCATCTATTTGTTCCTGTTTCTAGTAACATTGCCTCTCATTTTCCTCAAAGGTAAAACAATTTTTCCACTCTTAGTCCAAACATTTAGATGGAGGTTACTGTGGTCTAATGGTAGTCATATAAACTATTACTTAGTCTTGTCAATTAGTCTTTTAGTCTCTATAAGTGATTCAGGTATGGATATGTAATTCATTCTTGGCTAATTAAAGCCACTCAATTCTAATGTTAGGACTTAAGTTGTAAATAGTAGGAAAGAAAAGCTTTTCTTCAGTTGTGAATGTCAGAGAATATGCAAGAACTAGAGTGTCCAGTGGCCAACTTGGCATCCAAGCGGATCCCCTACCCGAGACTGAGAGTGATGCTAATGGAGAAAAACAATGCCAAAAGAAAGTGAAAGGTGGACCTCCCTGGTGGCGCAGGCAGTTGAGCGCCGCACTGTGAAGCTGTCCGCAGCCTCTGCAGCACGGGTTCGATCCCGGCCAGCCGGCGAAAATCCCACATGGCTGGGCCAACCTCTCCTGTCTCGCCCGGTGCTCCCCTCAGCAGTGTATTTCCTCAGTCTGCCTCTTCTGTTTCCCGCTCTGTCTCTGGTGAATCCTCTCACCCTCCCATGCATCTGGCCTGTACCCAGGTTCTTGTATAAAAAATAAATCTTAAAAAAAAAAAAAAAGAAAGCCAAAGGTAAAGTCTAGTTGATCTCTTTTCAGTTACAGAAGTCAGACTTGACTGCAATCAGCTCTCCTCTGGCACTCTTCTGGTTTAAGAGTCAATGAATTCTTCTTCTTCCTTTTTTTTTTTTTTTGTTTAAGCCAGTTTATTTTTTAATACATCAGGAGTCCTAACTAATGTGCTCTCAGTTTATGTAAGACAACTAACTAACTCCTGGGGGAGAACTATACATTTCTGATTATTGTCTCTAAAATGTAAAGTGCAACATCTTGCAAACATTCATTCTTCAAAAAAAGTTTGAGTCAAAGAATACATAGTCAACAAAGAAAACCAACTTACAGAGTACACGGACATCATACTGAAGTGAATCTTCTCCAGCCTCATTCACAGCCACACAGGTATATCTCCCAGCATCTTCTACTTTAGCCCGGGGGATCTGCAGCACTCGCCCTCCTAAAAGTACCCCCACATGTTTATCTTTCAAAATCTTAGCATGAATACTGGTTATAAACAGAGGCAGCATTTTCCAGGTCTATTGCCTTCCTTACATTCAATTTCAAGTTTCTTACTGCATCCGGTGATTTAGTTTTTTAAACCCAGATACCATTTTTATAATAAATGTTGCATTATTAAAGAGTAATCCAACAGAATCAGATCACCTGATAAGTTAATAAATAGTTCATGTATATTTGTCTATAGGGGTGAATGTTAATTTTGTCCCTCATTATATTCCACATGTCATGTCAATATGTAGGCACTTCTTGCTGATACAATTTAGAACACATATCAAAGATGTTTTCACTGTTAGATATTAAGTGTTGGTTCGGGAAAGTACTAACCAGGGATACAAAAGATACAAAGTATACTATTTTACATGTAACCCTGAAAGAATAACATTGTGTTTTTAACTTTTTTTTTTTTTATAGAGGCATGCTTTATTTATTTGTTTGCTGGTTTGTTTGTTTTGTTTATACATGCACTGGGTACAGTCAGAAGTGCGGGAGGGCGAGAGAATTCACCAGAGCCAGAGCGGGGAGCAGAGCAGGCAGAAGGACCGAAGTACACTGCTGAGGGGAGCAGCGGGCGGCAGGAGAGGTCTGCGCGCCATGTGGGACCCTCCTCTGGTGGCCGGGGAGCAGCCGGGGATCGAACCGGCGCCGCAGAGGCCGCGCGCAGCTTCGCAACCCAGCGCTCAACCGCTGCGCCACCGGGGAGGCCCTGTTTTTAACTTTTCATGTTGCTACTATTTCAAATTTAAAGTTGCAATAATTGTACAAGAAATTTTCACTTATGCTTACCAATAATTTTTATTTCACTCCATTTGTTTTATCTCTAACATATACATAACATTTTTCTGAACCATCTGAGAGTAAGTTGGAGCCATAGTTGGAGACATTTACCCCCCAAATATTCATAAATCTATATTTCATAAGGACAATCTCTTATATAACCATAGTACAATGATAAAATCAGAAAAGTTTAAATCTATATAAAACTATTATTGAATTTTATAGTCCATATTCAAAGTTCATCATTATTACAGTAATTGCATATAGCTTTTCTTCCCAAACTCTGATCCAATTTAGGACCACATATTACATTTAATTGTCATTTCTATTTAGTGTCTTTTTAAAAGTTAAGTGAGATGAAATTTACATATAGCAGAATTCATTGACCTTAAGTGTAAAATTTGATAATTTTTGACACACCTATTTGAATGTTTGCTAAAAGTACAAATTATAATTCCATCATAATTTGAACATCTCCTTTCCATTAATAAGCTAAATAACCAAGATATTTCAAACCAATAACCTTTATGATTGAGTTATGATAGATGTATTAATAAATGGAATAACTTTTTACAAATATATTTTAGAGTATCATTAATAATGTACAGAAATCAAACAGATGAATTCATCATACTACTAGAGAAATGCTAGCACAGGAAGCCAAAGGACTTTAAGTGGACAGAATGATCTTGTGGCAGATCAGAAAACTAACTAAGGTGTTCTATACTATGTCAAATACTTGACCTGTACTCCTCTGGCTTGAAGCTACTTGGACATGAGTGGCATTCAACAGCCTGTGTTAGTAATTCCACTGATTTAAAACATGGAAGAAGTTCAATTTTCACCTGTTCACACCAATCTTTACCTGGTAAAATCAACACTCTGTCACTTGAGGTCAGAGGATGGCCATCTTTGTACCACGTCAGGGTAGGAGGGGGAGCAGCATTTGTCTCACAGTAAAGAGAAATGGGATTGTTGATGATCACATCCTTTGCTTCACCATTCCTGCCAGTATCCAGCATGTTTCCCATTTCCCAGAGTTTCTGAAAACTCGGAGGAACTATGAAGGGAAGACAAGAAATTTTGAACATATGTGAATACCAGTGTCAAGTCATTAAACAAAGATTTTGACTGTATTTTCACAAGAGTGATGTGTAAAAGTCATACATTACACAATGGGAAAATATTTTCAAGTACTTATACACCTACCTACTCTAGCCCTTAGCCAAAAATAGTAGTAGACCAAAGTTGATTGACTCTCCTGGGGAAGAACAAGAAATGTGGGCCCCAAATGCAGCACTACCTGGTAAAGGGTGTTAGTCCTTATGGGGTCAGTGCTCAGGGAGGAGTTACTGCTATAAACGTGGCTTTGCAATACAATTATAGCAGGAAAAGCTAATTTTGAAGAACCATTAAAAAACTCTGACTCAGCTGAGAGCATTTTCCAATGATCTATTTTAGTAAGAACGTAAATGATCTAGTAACAAAAATAATGACATTCTCAAATTTTGGGGTGGGGAGAAATATGAACGTTTTAGAAGGTAATTTTAATTGCACATCAAAAGCATTGAAAAAAGTATGCTACACTTAAGCTAAAATTAGCATCTTATGAAAAATCAAAGATGTGCTACAGTTTTATCTAAAAGATGCTCAGTGACACATGTAAATAATCAAAACTTGGAAATATGTCAGACTTTCAACAATAGAAATCTGGTTAAATAATAGATATTCAACTGCTAAAACTGGTATAGTTATTAAAAACCATATTCAGAGTAACAGTATCAACAATAACAGGTATCATTTCTTCAGCATTTTTCTAAAAGTGTTACTTTATCTTAGTTAGAACTCAACACAATTCTCTAAGGTTTTCATTTTAGAAGTGAGCAAACTGGAACTTAAAATATTTAGGTAACTGGGCCTCCCTGGTGGCGTAAGGGGTTGAGACACAACCTATGAAGCTGTCCACAGCCACTGTAGCACAAATTTGATCCCTGGCCAGCCAGGGAGCAACCCACATGGTGCAGCAGACCTCTCCTTCTCACCCACTGCTCTCCTTGGCAGTGTATTTCAGTCAGTCTGCCTGTTCTGTTCCCCACTCTGTCTCTGGTGCATCCTCTCACCTCCCACACCTCTGGCCTGTATCCCAGTTCTTGTATACATAAATAAATCTTTAAAAAATATTTAGGTAACTTGTCCAAGTCACAAAATTTGTAGGAGACTAAATCATCATTCAATTTCCAGTCTGACTACTTTAAATTGTATACCACTTTCCTGTCTTCCATGTAAATGCTATTTAAAAAATGATGATATAATATTAGTGGAAGGCTAATGCAACAGAAAAGTATGTACTGTGTGATATAATACATTTGTAAATAAGGTATACATAAAAAATATCAGAAGGAAGCATATAAAAATCATGGAAAATAATCCTAAATGATGGGATATTTTCTTCTTTGTTAATTTCTCAAGTTTTCAACAATGAATTTACATTATTGTCAACAGAAAAAAAATAAGCCAAGTCAAATCTCTTTTCATTGTTTTGACAGATCACATAATTTAAATTACCAATAAAAAGTGTATCAGTATTACCTTGTATATTCACATCAAAGTCCAGCTCATCTTCACCTGCAATATTAGATGCTACACAAGTATATCGCCCAGTGTCAGATATTTGTGCCTCCTTTATTTGAAGTATGTGTCCATTTGCAGCAATATTAACATGATCATCTGATTTAAGAGGCTGTGATTTAATTACAATAATTTTAGCATAAAATATTCAAGTAAATGATCTAAGAGACCATACAGTTAATGCATTTTATTATTTGTTAATAAAAAAATATGTGAAATATTCAAAATAACAATAAAAATAATTAACTTTGTATGATTGTTAAAAATTATAACTCAGAGTTGAGATCTGTGTCAGGTATTTCTGAGGGGTACACATTTACACATTTTTAGGATGAAAATGTTCTTAAGTACCATACCCATGTAGGAAAAAATTTTTCAGCTGATCTCACAATACATTAAGAAAGCATATCTTTGGGCCTCCTTGGTGGCACAAGGGGTTAAGCACTGCACTATGAAGCAGTCTTAGTCCTCTGCAGCATGAGTCCGATCCCTGGCCTGCCAGGGAGCAACCCACATGGCAAAGCAGATCGCTCCTGTCTCGCCTGCTGCTCCCATTAGCAGTGTGTTTCAGTCTGTCTGTTCTGTTCCCCACTCTGTCTCTGGTGAATCCTCTCACCCCCTATCTGTGGCCTGTACCCCAGCTCTTATATGCATAAATAAATAAATCTTTAAAAAAAGAGAAGCATATTGGGCCTCCCCAGTGGCACAGCAGTTGAGCGCTGGGCTGCGAAGCTGCCCACAGCCTCTGAAGCGCCAGTTCTATCCCTGGCCGCCAGTGAGGATCCCACAAGGTGCGCAGATCTCTCCTGCCATGCCCGCTGCTCCCCTCAGCATTGTACTTCGTGTCAGTCTGCCTGTTCTGCTCCCCACTCTGGCTCTGGTGAATGCTCTCACCCTCCCACGCTTCTGACTGTACCCAGTGCTTGTATAAATAAATAATGATGTTTCTTTAAAAAAAAAAAGAAGTGTATCTTTTATTATGCTTTGCTAATATGTGGAAAATGCTAAACTTTTAAATACAAGACTGAGGGCATTTACACAGTCTAATCTGATCTAAAAATCAGTATTGTTTATTCACAAATGTAATTACTTTGTAAATAAAAATTTTTAGCCTAGAGATATTCATATTATGTCATAGTGGTAAAATTAGTAAACTTAAGACATCTATCATGTTCTAAACCTTTCCATTCATACTAAATTCCCTTCTATCCTTGCAGGTTCTAGTTCTAGTTTACTGTCATTCCTTTTAATGCTGCTTTTCTTTAATGCCATTTCCTCTCATCTTTTCTTGAATTTGCTCCAATCAGAGTTTTACCATCACTGTATGACCAAAACAGCATGGTTCAAGTCACCAGTGACATCTCTATTGTTAAATTCATCAGCCAATTCTCAATATTTTAACAGACGAATGACATTTAACATACTTAATTTGTTTTTATTTTGGAATACATTCCTCCCTTATCTTTTGTGGCACTTGACTCTCTTCTCTACAACCTCTAAATGTAGCGGTTACCCTAGGGCTTAATTCTTGGGCCTGTTCTATCTAAACTCACTCTCCTTATGATCTCATTCAAAAGCGTGACTCATCTCTTCCTCTTGCATCCTGCCACCACTGTTCTCCACACAAATACCATTTCTCTTTTGGATCACTGAAATAAATTCATATCTGGACCCTCTTTTTATTTCTCCCAATACAGAAACCAATACAATCCTTTCAAAATCTTTTTTTTTTTAAGTTTTTTTTTTTTTTTTTTAGGATTTATTTATTTATTTATATAAGCACTGGGTACAGTCAGAAGCACAGGAGGGTGAGAGAATTCACCAGAGCCAGAGGGGAGAGCAGAGCAGGCAGACTGACAAAGTACACTGCTGAGGGGAGCAGTGGGTGGCAGGAGAGGTCTGCGCACCATGTGGGACCCTCGCCTGCAGCCAGGGATCGAACCGGCACTGCAGAGGCTGCGGATAGCTTCGCAACCCAGCGCTCAACTGCTGCGCCACCGGGGAGGCCCCAATCCTTTCAAAATCTTAAGTCAGACCATATCACTTTTTTTTTTTGAAGTGACATTGGTTTGCTATTGTATATGATTTAGAGATATTTAATCACACCATTGAGGTGTGTGTTATCACGCCCCACACCCACCACCAAGGCACCCACAGCCCTATACCAGAGTCCATTGTACTCCCTTCCCATCTTGCTCACCCCTTTCCCTGCTCCTCTAGTAGCCTCAAATCTATAGTGAGATTTCTAGGGTTTGTTATTTGTTTTTATTTGGCCCTTTGTTTTGATTCTCTGTATTTGACATGTAAGTGAAACCATGCGGTATTTGTCTTTCTCCGGATTTATTTTGCTTAGCATAATCCCCTCCAGCTCCATTCATAATGTCCCGAAAGTCAAGAGTTTATCTTTTTTTCTTTTTTTGTAGCTGAGCAATATTCCATTGTGCATATCCACTACATCTTCTTTATCTGCTCATCTGTCTTTGGGCACTGAGGTTGTTTCCAGATCTTGGCTATTATGTTCACATTTCCCCAGGGTCTTCTCATGGGAATAAAGACAACTGGTCTACAAGGCAGTATGATCTGCTCCAATCTTTCGCTCATTTCTGTGTTCCCCCAAATCACTGTGTTTCAGCTAAAGTGGCTCAGTGCCTTAGCATTTGTAATTCTCTTTATTTTAGATTACTCCCCCCATCCCTCAGTTATCTTGTATCTGTTTTCTTCACTTTTTTTGAAATTCTGTTTGAATATCACCTTATTGGTATGTTCTTCCCTACATAAATAAAAGATTATACTCTCCACATTCACAGTTCGTCTTCCTGACCAAGATATTTCCATAACATCTATCCTATCTGGCACATCAGATGTTTTATGGTTTGTTCAGTTTTTGTCTCCCCAAATTTTATGCAAGTAGAGATTCTTGTCTCATTACCTCAAAGCTGTCGGGAGGATCACACCTATATGTCTGGCAAATAGTATTTGCTTAATAAATAATCTGCAATAAATCATTGTTAACATATCATTTATATAAGCTAGCATAAATTAATTTTTCTGTGCTAAAAATACCTCAGATCATGGTCAACAAAACTCAAAAGTTTGATCAAAATTTATTGTGGTTAACACTGACACTATTTTTAGTGGGTTTTTTCCAAAACACTACTTTTTCAAACACCAGTGCTTATGTAAAGAATAAAAGAACAATAGAAGGGATATGGAAATTAAAAGCCAGTATTTTTTAGTATACCTTCTAGGTGACCGCTCCCAAGCCCTGAAACATTTAGCAGTTTAACTAGAGTATCATAATTGAATCATTGAAAGGTCTGGATCTGAAATTTAATTTAACTCTTTACAGTAAAGTTAAAATGAAACAAACTGCTCATTCTTCATTCATGCAGTTTTAGTCAACTCAGCTTTTACACATTTATGGTTTGTGTGTGCCTATGAGTAGTAATAGCAAAGAATGAAAAGCTTCTAATTAAAATTTAAAATAAAAATAAGATTTCAATGTAGAAAGAAATTGTTTCCAAGCGAACTCACTCAGAATTGATGTTGTACCATGAAGTATGCTGTTAATCAGAAGGGAAACGGTAAACAGAACATGGTGAGTGTTCCATATTTATCCTTTTCCAATGGCTTCCAGATGAAACTTGCTTATTTTATAAGAGGTGATTTTTTTCCCTAGCTGCCAGTATTGCAAAATCCATCTGTGACTTGAAAAATTAAAGGTCTATCTCTCTGTACCTTAAATTATGGCTCTGACCTGAACTTCCATAACTGGAATTTAACTGACCATTTGGTTGATGATGTGTAAAACAGGTCAAATGTCAGCTGAGCTATGTCACATCCGTATTAATAAGCACAGTGCTAGCAGCTAAAAAAAAAATATTTTGGTCTAGAAACACCAGAGCATATGTCTTTAAAACTAGCATGAAAGAAAATAAGTTGAATAAGAAATAAGTGTGTGTGGTCTCAGAGTCAGATCACATTAACTGTGGGATCTGCCTGTTATTTAAAGTCTCTCATTGCCACCAGTTCATTGACTTGTGCACCTAATAAAATTCAGCTTTTCTCTTCATCTTGGAATATTAAAAAATGTTACTTTTTATAAATGAATTAAAGATGTTCAGAGAAAACTGTCAACTCAATACCAATGTTATACCTATCATTCTAAGGTGATTTAGCTCTTTCTGTGTTTCTTCTTTGCAAACATTACTTACTCTGTAAAATCACAAAAAACAAAACATTCCTCAGTGGGAAGGTGACTGGATATTCATAGACCATTGCTAATGTACACAAAAACAAAATGTACAGTCACCAGTGATGGAATGATACCACAACTGTTGTATGTAGTTCAAGGGTTTTTTTTTTTTTGTTTTTTTTTTTTTGCTTTTAGTTTCTAGGTTCATGGACTTAAACTGGCTTTAAGATTACATTGATTCTCTGAGTCACTTGCACCTATTTTTTTTTAATTGACCATTTTAGTCTTTAACAAACTATAAGTGAATGAAAAAACTTGTGACTGGCCTGTCCATCCTTGTACCAGCTGAGGGAGGCAGAAGGAATTGCATAAGCTTCACATTCCAAGGTCAGGGTGTTGTTTACTTTGATCTTGACTTCTTTCGGGGAAAGACCTGACCCCAAAAGGTCCCCTTTATTGATTATGGGTGGAACTGCATTTAAAAAAATGAAGATTAAAGAGTTAAACATTAGTTCATTTAAACACATGGAATACAGCAGAAATCAAATTAATGATTGTTTAACATGAAAATAAAGAAATAACTGAGACACTTTTTATGTTCCATTTTTATGCAGGACCCAAGCTAACATTTTTAGAACCAGCATCATTCAGATAGAGTGTGAAGAAAACATTTTTCTTCATCATTATAAACTTATCAAATAGGCTAATGATCTTTATAGAGCAGTTAGTTTCATTTGTTCCAGGTATCCAAGACAGTCTGAGCATGACACATAAAATGCATTTTATTGGTCATTAAAGGAACCTAGTCAAAGAACAAAAGACAAAAAAAAAAATACTCTTCCTTTTTAAAAACAAAAAGGAAGTCCTGAAATGTAGACACCATTAAAGGTAGCTTAAGCTTAGCTTTTTTTCTTTCTTTCTTTTTTTTGGACAGGCTAATGTAGAGTGGATCAACCTCAAGTCACTTTAGGATGCGGATTAGAGATTGTTCATTTAAACAGTTTGTGTATGCAAATACTGTAACTCAGCCCTGAAAGTAATTCAGAAGGAAACAATAGAGAAACTTAAGGCAGAGCCACTGACAAGTTCTCCAACAAGAGGTTCGTGAGCAGACTGAGTGGGCGCCTCACATATTTAAGCAATTGAAGTCATGGGCATAACGCTTAATTCAACTTCCATCTGAATGAAGCAAGCTGCATAGACAATAATCTTTAATGATGAGTAGAAATAATTATGAATCCACAATGAAAAACAGGACTGAAACAGAAAACTTGGGCAAGATATGATCACACTGTTCTTTCAAAACTTACTGTAGACCTTCACTTCATAGTGCTTGATCATCTCCCCGGCCTCATTAGTGGCTACACAAGAGTATCTTCCAGCATTGTTCTCCTGTGCATTTAGGATCTGCAGGGTCCTACCACCTAAAAAATGGAACATCAAAGGGTCACTGATGTCACAGTGAGAGCAGAATATGCACAAACTACCAAATTTTAGCTCTTACCACTAACATATTGTTTCTATATGCCAATTCTGTGGCAGGTATTTGACACAAAACAAACTGTAATATAGACAGATGACAAATGGGCACTGCCTGGTGGGTGATGATAGTCCTCTAAGGTAATGAATCCCATGCTCATTCTGATACCCACATGGTTCTATACATAGTCAAGCTAAGGTCATTATTTTATTCTCTTTAAACAAGGTCTTCTGCCTTTGTCTCTTCTTCCTCTCATCTGTCTGGTTTATCAGTAGAGCTTGAGCTTACTAAGATAGTTTTTATTATGAAAACTTCCTCCTTAAAAATCTTTAATGCCTTTAGTTGGCTGAAAGCATAAAGTTAAAAGTTTTAATCCAGGCATTGTAAACATGACTCCAATCACCTACCCTTCTCTCTTTCTCTTTTTCTCTCTCTCTCTCTCTCATACACACACACACACACACACACACACACACACACACACACACAAACAATATCTACACTCAAGTGGGAGGTAAGTATTTAATTATTGCTTGCATATAAGTAGGCCATTCTCATTTTGTACCTTTCCAGTGCTATTCATTCTGATGGATCTGAGATCTCTCCCAACTCAATTCCAACCAATGAAATTTTGTAACTTTTTTAAAGATTGACTTAAGTTCTAACTGCAACAAAGCATTTCCAAGCCACTCCCACCCATGGTGGCCATTTTCTTTTGAGAATTCTCATAAAATTTAAGATTAACTCATTTATCATGTCCCTTAACAGCTCAGAATCCATATCATTATTCAGATTCATGGTATAAACTTTCCACAAATATTATCTCTTGCATGTAAGAGTATAAATTTCTTAAAATTGGCAATAATAACTTTGAATTCTTTTTATTTTCACACATATCACCAGGTATCAATGAGGGATAAAGAAACTCAAACTAAACACTAACACTCCTTCAAGATTCAATTCAACAAGACATAAATTTCTATCCTTTCTGGCATTCCACATCATAAAATATTTCAGCAATTAGCAACTATCATGCTGTTTATTTGTCTTTATTTAGATATTTTATTGTTTTTTTCAAGAAAGTAATTTCTAGGATTATAAGATATGTACAGATAATTTTAAATATTAAAATACCATAAAACACAAACAATAACATAAATATTTTTTAGGAAATAACTGATGGTTCTGCTTTTCAACAATCATACATGCTACAGTTTCATCCTGAACATCTGAAGTAAACTAATTACCTGGAAGAATACGAATATTTTGGTTGGATTCTAAAGGAGTTCCATCCTTAAACCAGGTAATGGTAGCTGGAGGGTAAGAATAAGCTTCACAGACCAAAGATGTGGGATTGTTAAGGATAACTGTGACATCTTCGGGGCTGCCATCACTATCAACACCAGCAATTGTAGGAGATACTAAAAAACATTTAAAGTTTGATCAAATAAATATATTTAGATAGTTCTAATGGATTCCTAAATTTCCATTTTATTAACTTGAACAAATCCATTCCTTGTAACAATTGCAAGACATAATTATTGTTTTTATCCTACACAAAAGCAGTGAGAACCTCTAAAAGCAATAGATGAAATGGCACACAAAAAGGAATCATGACACAAAGTAATAAGGGCAATAATGGAAATTTTTGGTGCAGGATATATGAAGGTACCATTTAACCCAATCCGAAGTGTAGGGAAAGGAGTGTCATAAGGAAAGACCTCATAAAGGAGGGTTTTTCAAAGTGAGACTTAAAGAATTATTGGTAGTTAGGAAGTAAAAGAAGGGAAACTAGTAAGAAGAGGGAGCATGTTACGAGCAGAGTAGTGTAAACAGAGGGGAAAGCAGGGAGCATATTGGATGGGTTTGAGGGTATCAATACTCAATACTGAAAGAAAGGGGGTCAGAGACAGGTACATTTGCTTCATGAAAAATACTGAAGGATTGAACCGCACATGGAAAGCAGGCAGGAAGAGGAGGAAGTGTGTAAAGGAAGATTTAGCATGCCAATTGGCAGGACTTGAGAGAACTGAGGGCTAAGGGAAAGCAGAGTCAATGATAACTTCTGGTTTTCTTGCTTGGGGATCTAGGTAGACTGCAATGAAGCAACAGAAATAGAAAACATGGAAAGTGATGGACATTTAGGAGGGGAAAATGGTGTTCTCATTTTGAATTTCTTGATTTTTAAGTGCCCATGAGAGTTCCAAGTAGAAATGGCCAAATGGAAACTACATAGAAATCGGAACCTTGAAAGAAAGATCTGGGTCACAAACAATTATGGGTGCCTTGGTGGTGGATGTGGTGTGGTAATATTTATCTGAAGAGGTGTGATCTTATACTTCTGAATCATATACAGTGTTATAAACCAATGTTACCTCAAAAAAATAAAAAGAGCCAAGCATCTATAGAAGGTGAAAATTAAATTGCTAGGAATTAAATTCATTACTTGAAGAAAATATCTGGAGTAAAAAGAGCAATGTAGTATGGAAAAAATGCTAGGTATCCTAATGTTTAAGAGATGGGTTAATTAAGAGTCTCCACAGGAGAGAGAAAGGGAGCAATCAAGTGTATGCAAGGATAACTAGTGAAGAAAACAGGATAATGTCCAAAACATTAAAATAAAGAGCAAAAAAAGTTATTAGAGCTAACAAAAGGTAGTAGTCTTTGCTATAGCAATGTCCAAAATGGTATGGGCAGGAGTCCAATTTTAGTGGAATAAGACAGGGAGTGGTTGAAATATGAAGTGACAGAGATGGTAGCTTCAGGAGGGTGGATGGTAGGAATTACTGACATACCAAAGAAGGTGGAAAGATACAGGCTCAAGGGCATAAGTGCAACCAGTAACTGAACGTGCATAACTCATCCCTGGGAAAAGAAACGGGAAAGACACTGAATTATGGCTGAGTACGTTAGAAGTTGCAAACATACGCAAATAGTCTGAACTTTATGAAATTGATGAAAAAGAAGGCTTTGATTCGGATCATTTAATGAATGAGGGAGAATGACAAGAAATAGATAAGCAACCAGGAAGTGGTGGCGGTGGTATTGGTGGGATAGTCAGATGCAATGGTTTGGGATACCTAGGATAAAGAATTAAAGAGATTTCTACTGGAAAGATTTCTAAGGAACTAGGGTCTCTTGGGAAGAGTCGGATTTCAATTACAGCAGAAACACAATTTATTTATTGATTGAAGTAATGCTGATTTATAACATTGTATTGAATTCAGGGATATAACATGATAAACCACATCTGTCTACACAACAGTGTGTTTACTATGACAGTCTAGTTTCCATCTATTATCATACAACTGCCTGTTTTGATCTGATTTATCCACTGCTCTTCCCCTGTCCCTTCTAGTAGTCATTATTTTGTTTTTATAGTATAATAGTGTTTTACTTTGTTCTTTCAATTGTTTTGTTTCTTTATTGCCATATGAGTGGAATCAGTCTTGTCAGTTTTGTCTTTCTCACTCTGACTTATTTTACTTAATGTAATACCATGCAGGGCCATCTCTGTTGTGGCAAAAAGTAGAATTTCATCTTTTTTTTTTTTATAACTAGAGAATATTCTACTATGTATATATACATTTTCTTTATCCACACATACATTGATGAGCACTGAAGTTGTTTCTAACTCTCAGCTATTGCAAATCATGTTGAAATGAACATGGGGGTCCATATATCTTCTCAAATTAGTATTTTCTAATTCCTTTAATATCTAGGATGGGATAGCTGGATCATATGGTATCTCTTTATTCTTTGAGGAATTTTCATACTGTCTTCCAAAATGGCTGAACCAATTTATATTACCATAAAACGTGGATGAGGCTTTCCATTTGTCTGCACCCTCACCCACACTTGCTGTTACTTCTATTTTTTATAATAGTCATTCTCACAGGTGTGAGGAGATACTGTGCTTTTGATTTGCATTTTCCCAATAAAAGACTTCAGTTTTCATGTGACTGGTTTTTTTTTTTTTTTTCATGTGACTGTTAGGCTCCTGTATTTTTTCTCTGGAGAAATGCCTATTCAGTTCCTTTGTCCATTTTTAAACTCAGGCTGCTTTTGTTGTTAAGTTTTATATGTGTTTGGATATTAACCCTTTGTCAAATGAATGATGTGTAAAATATCTTCTTCAGTCAAAAGCCTTTTCATTTTGATATTTTGCTTAAAAGAAGTAGTTTTTCAGTTTTATGTATACAATTTGTTTACTTTTGCTTTTGCTTCCCTTGCTGTTAGAGACATAGCTACAAAGATATAAGGCTGAAATAAAAAAGCTTATCACCTATATTTTCCTTCTATGTCTTTTTATACTTTTAGCTCTTATGTTCAAGTCTTTAGTCAGTTTGCATTGCATTTTGTATAAAATGTAAGAGGGGGGTCTAGTTTCATTTTTTTGCATATAGTTTCCCAATTTCCCCAACATCATTTATTGAAGAGGCTTTCCCTACTCAATTGGATGTTAGCTCCTTCATCATAACTTAGTTGTCTATATATGTGTAGGTCTATTTCTGGGCTCTAAATTTTGTTCCATTGATTTGCATGTCTTTTTATTTCACTGCTGTACTGTTTTGAGTATGTATATTATTGGATACCATATTGCTTTGTAGTACAGTTTCAAGTCCAGGTGTGTGGTAGCTCTATTTCTATTCTTTTTTTTTTCAAATGATGGTTTGGGGGTCTTTTGTAGTTTCAAGTAAATTTTATGATTTTTTGTTATAGTTTCATAAGAATGCTATTGAGATTTTGATAGGGATGCATTGAATTTACATATTATTTTAGGCAAAATGCCCATTTTACAATGTAAATTCTTCCAATCCATGGAAGAGCTTTCTAATTTTTGGTAACATTTTTAGTTTCTTTTGTTAACATAATTTTCAGTGTGCAGGTCTTTCACCTCTTTTGTTACTTATTTCTAGATATTTTATCTTTTTGGTACAATTGTAAGCAGACTGTTTTCTTACCTTCCCTTTCTTCTAAGTTTATTGTTTATGTATAGAAACACAACCAGGGCTGAGAATTTGCCTTTTTTACACTAGTAGCTATGCAATGAGCACAGATGTATTAGAATCAACTGACTCATAAATTTAACAATTATTCATGTATTTGTTATTCAATGCTATGTTGAGTACTGGGGCTAAATCTTATACAACAAAAAGAGAGTTCTGCCTTAGGACAATTATAGCTATATTTAATTATTATGAATATATACCATTCATTTAACACTTTATAAATTACCCAGTATTTCAAACAGCTTTCCTTGTATGCATATCTCTTTAGTTAGTTAGACGGTGAGCTTCCAGATGACACGTGTGGGAGGCTCCTATATATAGGACTATGTATTAGTAAAATAGGCTAGTCAATAAGTACAAAAGGAAAAAATGCAGGAAGGTATGTACTCAAATACACATCAGTTGATTTTAGGATAAAGAAAGCATTTTAATAGTAGTAATCAAACACAATACATTTAGGTGCTGTATTTAAAATTTTGATAATTGCATCAAAAGTAAGAATCTATTTTAATGTCTTTCCTGAGACACATGCATAACTTGGACAATGTAGGAAATGAATATGAAGTTATTTAATCATTCCTAGTACTCAAAGACCATAAAATGGACAATGACCAATAATGGCAGAATCTCATAAAGCAAAGGTAACATATCTCAGGTCATGTTCATTTCACTATTGACCTGTTTTTCTTTGACCAGCATATATTTACCCTTTACTACTCCTTATTTAACATCTCTCTTGTCCATAGTCATGTCCCTAACACAAGTCACCTTGCTTGGATTATAGTAGCTATTCTAAGTAGAATGAATGAATGAATGAATGAATGAAAGAAAACACCAAACCTACACAAACATTTGCCCTTATATAACTAAATTCTATAGTAGGGACATTAACTGAGAATAAAAAGATTTAGTCAAGTGTGATTCTTCAAGATTCAGAATAATATTATACCTACCTAACACATTCAGACTGAAGATTTTGCTCTTGTCACCGGCTGTATTAGAAGCCAAACATGAATATCTTCCAGTGTGTGATATTTGGGCATTGGTAATTTGAAGAAAACGACCACCAGACATAATGTGGTAGGTATCATCTTCTTGAAGGAGCTGCCCATCTTTGTGCCATGTTATTTTTGGCATTGGAATTCCTGTAACAAAAAATCATTTCTGAGAACTGGCCAATAATCACATGCCTGCAACTGATAACTGAAAGAAAGCATTTTTCACTCATTTGCTTTTTTAAATATCCAACTTCTAACACAATGCCATAACCATTAGTTTTAAAATAAAATTTCAAACGTTATATAATTTACAATAATGATCATACTAACATGCTAAAACATGATCTAACATAAATCACTTTCTCATATATACCAATTTTTTCCCCAAGTGAAATAATTCTATATTAATCATTTAACTAAATTTTACTGCACCTGTAAGAGTAAAATACACTTACAAATGGTGCATGTATTTTTATTAAGATTATTATATAAATACTTTTATATTCATTTTAATTTAATAGGAATATATTTAACATTCATATTAAATTTAAAAGTTTTATATATTTTAAAAGTGCAAAGAGAAAAAAAAACTTTAAGTAAACAATTCAATATGCAGATATTTGGAATCACAACAATATTCTAGCATAAATGTATAATAAGGTAAATAGAGACAAAAATATAGTCATTAATCCTCTAATTCTACAGCCTAATGAAAAGAACTTTTATACTTGCTTTAATGTAAGCCATGTTAAATATTAAATTTTAAATTGCTCAAATAAGTTTTTGTAATTTTAAACCCATCAAAGCAACTTCAGTTAGAAAAGAGGGCTAGGATGATATTATATTAAAACTGGTAGGCTTGCTTATACTAGCTATGGAGTCTGTCCTGTGGTCCCATCTAAACAGGGAACACAATTTTCAGACTTACCCTACTATAGATCCCCCAGATTGGGAAGCCTAACCCAAGAATCTGGACAACCACACAGTCAATATTCTACAGCTAACCTTCTAGGTATGGAACAAAGTCAGCAGTCCTATCTGACTATTCCCAATCAAAAGCATCCCACCCCCACCTTGAAATAATAGTAAAGCAGTAATCTCAAACAAATAGAGACACTAATAGCAAGTCCCAACTTCCCAAGGATGCTGCAACCAGTTGACCCATTCAGAATGCCAAGCTGAGCTGACTGATGAAGTGAAACTCTAAGTCTGAATGACAGGACCACTTACTCAAATGGGCAGATGTGGGTCTGCAAGCCTTCAATTGGCCACCATTTTGGTTAAGGGCTGTCTGCTCTCTTATACAAAGTCAGAACAAACCAGTCAATCAGCAATATGACCTAAAAAAATGTAATATACCAGACCCTACAAGGCTCCTTTCAAATCAAGCAAGAGCAGGATACCTGATCACCCTGGGAAAATGGGCATGCATCATGAGGTATGGCCAGGAACACCCTGGGGGCCATTGACTGATGTACAACCATGTGCCCCAGAGACTGATCAGTGGAACACCTTAATAAGATTGGAACCATGGCCAGGGATCTAGGGTATAGTTTCAATTACAACACTTGGTCATCAAGCAGATAAATATCTGGTCAGCTGACTTTTGTCCCCCTGAAACCTTAGATGACATAAGTACCCTTTCAGTTTCACCCATCTTTTTCTCTTTGTCCTCCTAGTCCATGTACTTAATGTTCTATGATTGTTCTATCAATAAAAAGTCCAGGATCTTGCTCATTAAGCAGCACCCTGCATTGTGTAGCCTGTTCCACAACTCCTGTTTCTTTATCTGTGTGGTGTTGCCAATGCAATATGCAGAAAGCAATAAAATGAGTCAGGTAAATATGATACCATCAATGGAAAAATAAAGGTCCAATAATTTAATAACTGACCCTAAAGAAATGGAGGTCTATAACTGTGTGACAAATAATTTAGAATATAGCTCTTCAAGAGGTTTGCAAATTCAAAAAGACAATAAAAAACTAAATAAAAATAGGAAAACAGTATGTGAACAAAATGATAAACTGACCAAAGAAATATTAACCATCAAAAAAAGGAAAAAAAAAACAAATTCCAGAGTTGAAGAGCATAATGACTGAACTGAACAATTCAACAGCTTCAACAATAGACTTGACAAAGCAGAAGAGAGAATCAATGAACTAGAAGATTAAGTCATTTGAAATCATCCAGAAGAGCAAAAAGAGAAAAAGATTGAAAGAAAGTAGAGAAAGCCTATGGGACTTAGAGGGCACATTATGGGAATTCCAGAAGATAAAGAGAAGGGGACAGAAAGAATATCCAAAACAATAATGATACAAAATCTCGTAAGCATGGAAGAAAAATGTACATCCAGATTCACGAAATCCAAATAGTTTGAAATGAAAGAGCTACATTGAGATGCATTAAAATTAAATTTTCAAAGTTAAAAACAAAGAAGCCATTCTCATGCAGAAATGAAAGGAAGCTACTTAGCACTATAAAAGCATATGAATATGAATGCAGGTGAAATACTCAGTTATAGTGATAAACATACAGTCAAAGTCAGAGTCTCTTACATGGGAATAGTGGTACATAACTCACACACACTTAATTTAAAAGTTTAAAAAAACATTCAAAATAAACATAATTACAATATTTACTTTTGGATATATGACACAAATATGTAATTTATATGTATGACATAAAATCAATAATGTAAAATATGAAGGGCTGAGAAGTAAAAGTAGAAAGTTGATGTATGTTATTGAAATTATCAGCTTTAGTCCAACTTCCTATTGTTTTTAAATTCTCTACTGACATCTAATACTTTATTATTTGCATCCAGACTGGACTGCTCACTGCTGAGCATACTCCTGCTGCTGTCTTAGGCTTTATACTGGATGTAACAGGGTATCATTAGCACTTTTTGAAAGGAAAACAGTATGGAAGGTCCTTCAAAAATTAAAAATAGACCTACCATATGACCTAGCAATACTACTTCTGGGCATATACCCAAAGGAAACACAATCACTATCTCAAAGAGATATCTACATCTACACTCTCAAGTTCACTGCAACATTATTCACATGAGCCAAGACATAGAAACAACTTAAGTGCTCATCAACAGATGGACTGATTAAAGAAAATGTGATAAATGTTTATATACATATGTATGTATGCATAGAATGTAATATTATTCAGCTATATAAAAAGAAATTCTGTCATTTGTAACAGTATCAGTGGACCTTGAGGACATTATATTTGATGAGGTAAGTCAGCCAGAGAAAGAGAAATACCATATGATTTCACTTACACATGGAATCTAGTAAATCTAAACTCACAGATGGGTGGTTGCCAGAGGCAGGAGTTAGGGGGTGAGGGAATGTGTGAATATGATCAAAGCGAACAATTCCGTGATAAGAGAAATAAGTCCTGAGGATGTAATGCAGAGAATGCTGACTATATTTAACAATACTGTATTGTATAGTTGAAAGTTGCTAGGGAGATCTTAAAATTTCTCATTGTAAGAATAAACATTCGTAACTATGTGCAGTGATGGGTGTAACTAATCTCATTAATTTTGTGTGTGTATGAAATCATGATATAGTATACCTCCAACTTGTACAATGTTATAGGTCAATTATAGCTGCATAAAACAAAGAAAACATTTTTGTTTAAAAAAACCTCAAAAACAAAATCAGTGTAACAAAAAAAAAGAAGAAACTGGAAGCCCTGAAGGGAGGATGCTATTAGATTAGGCAACTGATCTCTATGCAGCAGTAGTTACCACATCATTTCTAAAGAAAAAAAAAAGGGAGGGGTAAGTTATAGGACATGTCACACTTTTTATCTTTTCTTAAAACAGAAACATTTCTTTAAATTTAATGTTCTTGTAAGGTATATAAACAATGATATAAAAAACAAATTGTATCTTCCTTGAAATGCTGGCCTTCTAGAAAATGTTATGGAATACTCACATTGTTTCTTTAAATTTCCAAGACCATCTATATTAAAAAGACAGGCTTGAAAATGTCCTGTACAGATTTATTTTTATTATAGCAACATAGCAGTTCAAAGTAAAGCCAGTGAAATTCACTTTTGAATTTTCATTTTCATTTTTACTAGTCTCTGTTCCCTTTGTAATAAGTTAACATATTAAGATGACAGTTTTGTTCTCAGTTATCCCTTGCTTTCAATAATGTAACCCTTCTACCCAAAGTCCTGCTATTTCACTGAAATAAAACTAAAATGAAACAGGAAGTGTGAAGGAAGGTACAAACATAAAGAAAAAAAGAAAAAACATAAGAGGAGGTGGGGCAGGAAACCTTACATAGAAGTAAAACCAGAATTTTTTAAAAATAAGGATAATTTGTTGAATTGAAAGAAAAGATCAATATGTCTTTCTTTTCTTATTTTCCTCTCTTTTCTGCCTTTTCCCTCTTTCTTTCCCTTCTCTCCATCTCTCCTTCCTTTCTGTGTGGCAATTTTCTTATCTCCACAGAATCTGACAGGTTTTCACTTATATTTTCTACCAGCAATAGCTGACATTTCATTTCAAATGCTTGTTATAGAGTTTGGCTGTTGTCTCAAATAATTAAGATATATCACAGAGACCATGACTAATCAGTGAGTGGGGGAATAGCAAAAGAACCAGAGCTGAGTCCTTACCTGTTACTTCACAAGTCAGTGTAACATTCTGTTTCTCTTTTACCTTCACATCTTCCAATGTATTTTCACCCACAATGTGAGGTGGTACTTAAAAAAAAAAAAAGTAACATTTTTTAACAGCAGGACTGTTATTTTACGGGCATCTTTATACTTTTATTAAATTATAATATTTAAAACAAACCCCCAAATTTTTATTATTTGATTACTAAAATAACATTATAATACTGCTTTAATCAATTTTAATTTTAAGGACACTTTGGGGTTATATGTATATGTAAAGTCAAATGGCATGATTACCCCCACTATAATTTCAACAAGAATTCTCACGAAAGAAGTTATTAGATTTTTAGAGTATTGTTGAACAAGTATGAACTGAAAATCTACAGCATTTCAGCTCTTTTATTCAAATTAATTACTTCCAAACAATTCTAACATTGAATTTTTGCTAGCTTTGACAATCTAGGGACCAAAGAAAAACAACAAATTGAACTTTGCTTTCAGAATATAAAATAGTCAGATTGTTTTCTAGTTATGGCAAATTATATATATACCTAATACTGAGAGTCCAAAAATTTTCTTTTCTTCCCCAGCTGCATTCCTTACAACACAAGTGTATTGGCCAGCATCTTCTTTTCTGGTCTGCATCAACCGCAGGGTTCTACCTCCTGGAGAAGCCAAGCATCAGATGACACAAAAAGAAAACGGAACCTTTTCAAGTGTTCCAAGTGATGTTCTATTTGGGTAAAATATAATACACTTCAAGGCCTTTAAAATGAATGTATGTCAAGCTTTAAAAAAATTACATGTTCTAAGTTTATATGATACAAATAGATAATTCAGAAAATTTTGCTGCTTCAAAGAAAAAATAAATACTATGTTAGCTGACAGCAAGAAATGGAGTTTCACAGAGGTCACACCTGAACATAATCTTTAGAGGTAAACATACTTTTACACACAGAAAAATAGAGAGACACCACTGTAGACATGTGATGAATGAGGTTCTAGAATAGTAAGCAATGTGGATTGTTGTACCTAAATCAAAGCAGCTGAAGAAATGGTGAAAGATGAGGCTAGGTGGAGAACCGGTAGATTCAGCAGGCCCTTGGACACTATATGAAGGAACCTAGGTTTATTTGGCTCATTAAAAGCTAAGGAAGTGTGTAAATAAAAAGTGATCATGCTCTGATTTGTGTTTTAGAAAGAAAATCAGGATCAGGACAGGATGTTAGGAAAATATTCCCAGTTTCCCATTAAATATATGAAATGGGAATTTTAGAAAGAGAAAGACCACAGTCGCCCAATTTGGGAGACATCAATAGGTAAAGGAAACTGAAGTGTCATGGAACCATGAAGACTGACTACTAGTTTTTTGTTTGTTTTTTTTAAAGATTTATTTATTTATTTATACAAGCACTGGGTACAATCAGAAGCGCAGGAGGGTGAGAGAATTCACCAGAGCCAGAGCAGGGAGCAGAACAGGCAGACTGATGAAGTACACTGCTGAGGGGAGCAGCGGGCAGCAGGAGAGGTCTACGCACCATGTAGGACCCTCGCCTGGCGGCCGGGGATCGAACCGCACTGCAGAGGCTGTGGGCAGCTTCGCAACCCAAGGCTCAACCTCTGCGCCACCGGGGGAGGCCCAAGACTGACTACTAGTTTTCAGATGAGTTTCATGGCACACTGGAATTACTCACATCAACAATAATGGGAGTCACATCATTCATGAGTGTGATTCTGCTTTTGTTATTTATATTTTGAATTATGTTGTGTAGAAAGAGTCCTCACCCAAGACATGCTCGTGTCTGAGTATAGAACTCTGAAAAGCTGAAAGGTGTGCCTTGGAGGGAAATACCTTTTCAGGACAAAGGAAGAGGAACTAGCAAATGAGACAGAACCAGGCTGCTAGGGACACCTAGAGACACCAAGAGTGTGGAGTCTTCAAACCACTGGAGTGAAGTCAAAGAAAAAATGTAAATCACTTTCTAGATTTTATAATAATTTTCCAGCTGATAAATTTTTGCTTGCCATCTTGAATTTGAACTAAAAAAAAAAACCAAAAGAGTTAAACATGACTTTTTCATGTAAATATTCACCTGGGTCTGGATTTGTCAGGAGTTCCCATGTGTTTTCTGTTTTTATAAACACAAGCTGTCATTGAGCTTTGAGTATGAACAACCTCCCCACCTTTCAAGTCAATAAAGTCAAAATCAGCAGTATTTTATTCTAAGTTGATGACCTGAATTCAGGTTTTTTTTTTATAAGTGGTACAAGCTTTTTGGTAAAATATGGCCTTATCTCAGACATTTTCCCCCAAATTTCTGAGACAGGTATTAATCCAAATGTCAATTAATCTTTTAACATACTTTAAAATGTGTGATTAACATTTTTTGATGAGACCCTACAAATCAAACTTTATTTTTTCCCTTTACCCTTTCCCCTCCTTCCTAACTCCAGAAACCACACTTCATTTATTAATGACTACTAGGTTTTAGAAGTATTTTACTTTGTCAAATCATCTGAATTCAGTCTTTTGTTCCAGTTGAATTTAAGTAAACAAAGCTAAGACAAAAATGATCAAAGTACATATCAAGAAACTTCTGCTAATCAGGAAAGGATTCAAGCACTCATACTACTTCAAATCATTGAGACTGTCACAAGATTCCAGTTGAGAGATCTTAAAACAATTCGTTTGTGAGCCATCATTGACTCCTGGGACCCTAACCTTGTAAGTCACATGATTTGCTTTTCTCTTTGTTTTCTGGTCTCTCACTTAATCCAGTGAAAAACAAAACAAACAAACAAAAAAAGGATCTGATAGTAAGTTATATGGAGACATATCTTATATCTATTAAAATTTTATAGCAGCTCTCTGTTCTTGGCAGATAACTTCATACCAATGACAGGGCTTTCACCAAAATACTGCTTTCAGAAAAACTGTCCTTAAAGTCTCAGGAGGGCTACTCTAACTGAAACAGAAGGATGTAGCTGACCAAGGACTGAGCAATCATATGACATGCATCTGATTCTCATTCATCTGTTGCACAACACTCATGTTCAGACTGAAACTGAATGACTCCTCTGGCAGCACCGCGGGGTGAAAGATTCTTAATGTGATCACTCAGGGATCACCAGCTGCTAGTCATGCAGAACAAAACTAAATAAAACAAAACTGTCAACCTATAATAAGGCATACAGTATCACTATCTTCTCTGTTCCATTTCTAGGAACCCGGATGCTGTCATTATATCTAACAACAGTTTCTGCTTTTTCAGCAACTGGGAATTTTATTTTTTTATTTTTATTTTTTTAAAGATTTATTTATTTATACAAGCACTGGGTACAGTCAGAAGTGCGGGAGGGTGAGAGAATTCACCAGAGCCAGAGAGGGGAACAGAATAGGCAGACTGATGAAAATATACTGCTGAGGGGAGCAGCGGGCATGGCAGGAGAGGTCTGCGCACCATGTGGAACCCCCGCTGGTGGCCAGGGATCAAACTGGCACTGCAGAGGCTGTGGGCAGCTTCACAGCCCAGCGCTCAACTGCTGCGCTACCAGGGGAGGCCCAGCCACTGGGAATTTTTAAAAGATAAGCCAAATCGAGGAGGATACCTTCAAGACAAGATGGTTTTGGCAATCAAATTTAATAAAATCTTTGCCATTACTATGCATTTCCTAAGATTAACTGAGACTGTGGTTCCTAAGAAAATGAAAGTATCATAGAGAGTAAGTAGAAAAATTGGCCTGCACAGGGGCAACCAATCTATGGCAATAACATAAAACAAGTATTGGATCCTTACCATGTAAGTGGGCACTGTGTTAACTGTTTAACCTACATTAACTCATTTCAACTTTTCAGAACCCTAAGAGGTGAATGCTATAAATATCTTGGAAAGTGAAAATCTAAAGTTAGCAAAGCTAAGTGACTCCTCTGAGGTTGTAACTATGGTGAGCATCATAAGGCAGTAAATGTGGTTATTAGCCACGCACATTCCTAATCAAGCTCCTGATTAATAGATACAGAGTAAGATCTTGAAAAAGCAGAGGAATCTTATAATATGTATACTTAACTCAAAGATCAGGAAAGGATCTTTTTTTAAAAAGTCTTCAAAAGTGGGAATTTAAACTTTATTTGAATAGATTAGTGCAGGGAGCTCACTACTTCTTAAAGTAGTTATTTCATCTTGACTTTAAAATATATAGATATGTTTTTAAGTTTTTTAATATTGACACCCAAATCTGTCCCTAGAATCTTCCATACGCTGTTATTATTTTTAACCTCTGGAATGAGATAGAATCAACACAATGTTTTTTCTATACCATGGTTCTTTAAGTGTTTAAATTTAATTTTCACTTTGTAGCATAAGGTCACATAAGCTTTATTTTTTGACATATAATTTATTTTGTAATAATTTACCAATTTGATTACTCTCCTTTGAAAAGACTGTCAATGAGTCTTCTTTCTGATAGGTAAGTTAAGTCCACAGTACAACTGGTCTCTTAATTTTCTTTTTGGGGGAAATGTATTCCATTAATATGATAGAATACTGAATTTGTTTTCTTTCTTTTTTTTTTAAGATTTATTTTTTATTTTTATACAAGAACCCAGGTACAAGCCAGATGTGCGGGAGGGTGAGAAGATTCACCAGAGACAGAGTGGGGAACAGAACAGGCAGACTGACGAAATACACTGCTGAGGGGAGCAGCAGGCGAGACAGGAGAGGTCTGCCGCGCCATGTGGGATTCTCGCCGGCCAGCCAGGATTGAACCCATGCTGCAGAGGCTGCGGACAGCTTCACAGTGTGGCGCCCAACTGCCTGAACCACCAGGGAGGCCCTGAATTTGTTTTCTTAATAACCACATTACACTGATAATACATATTAACAGCTAACACAAATCAGTGGTCTCTTCACGTGAAGAATTCTGAAGTTATCTCACATAAATTTCACCACTGGTTTTTAAATGTGAGTGCAGAAGTTTATTTAACTTCCATCTTGTGAGTTTTAATGTTAAAGTTTCAGCAGGAGATGTGTTTAAATTCAGATGCTTTCATTCAACATATTAGGCATTCTTCTAATAACCCAAGCTTTGTAATAACCACAAACCTGGCAAGATTATCTTCTTAATATGCATCCAAGTCATTACTAACAGGGGTCACGTGCAGATTCCTGTGGTCCTGAGATACCCCTCTCCAAGCTCACACCAAGCCAAAGAGGAAAGCTCATAGCTTTTCCTACATAATTAAAAGGGGACTAAACTGAATATCTCTTTTACAATAATTATTAGGTCTTAGATTATGGGAAACTGATCCCATCCTGAAAACCTGAAACCCACTCAGGTTAGAAGCATGAATAAGTTGGACTATGAAATCCCACTCTTGACTCTGCTTTCAACTTCAGTACTTTTCAAAAGGGTTGGTAACTCATGGTAGCACACATGCTCTGGCATCTCCATATCTGAAGTCATAAGAAAATGCCAAGATTTCTTTTATGAAAGGACCTAGAAATATGTAGAGGTTTCTTATAGCTTCTGATGCCCTTCTAAGTAGTTTTTTTCTTAATGTAATCAGTGGGCATTATATTAAGCAACTAGATCAGAAGGAAAAATAATGAAAAATGAGAAATTAAGGATAAATCATTGTCACATGAAGCTAAACAGATTATCAGGCCACAAGAATTTCTAATACCTGAGAGAATTCTCACAGAGCTGCTCAGGCTGACAGGCCACCCATCTTTAAGCCAAGTAATTGTAGGCAGGGGAATTCCTGAAGCTTCACAAGTCAAGGACACTGAGTTCTTTTCTACCACACTGATATTTTCTGGTGTGCCATGGTTTCCTATGATGCTTGGAATGGCTGTAAAACAGAAGAAAACAAAAATGGGAAAGAAATGGGAAGGTAGATAACATAAATCAGACACAAATATGACAGTTTATTAATAATAATAGGAATCCATTTTCTGATCAACAGTAAGCAAAATAAATAATCACAACAATGAGCTTATTAATAGTATTTTTAGTGTGACATTCCCACAAGTAAAATGTCACTTCTTTCTACTAATAGCAGTAAATGACTTTCACATTGTTATTATAATAATGGCAAATGATTTTCTATGTGTGACGCATCCTATCTGGTATATTTCTAATGTAGATTCATGACCTTCTTATATGCAGGGTTTTCTAACAAAAAATTCTAATCTTAAAATTCAAGTTACTGTGCACTATTGATGGAGATTTAAACTGGTGCACCCTCTATGGAAAAACTGTATGAAGGTTCCTAAAGAAATTAAAAATAGAAAAATAGAACTACCAATTGATCCAGCATTCTAATTCTAGGTATTTATCTGGAGAATGCATAAAAAGCACCCCCATGGTCATTGCAGCACCATTTTCAATTACTCAATAAAAAACTTAAATGCCCATTGACAATGAGTAGATGAAGAAGATGTGGCATACTCAACAGAAGACTACCTAGCTATTAAAAAAACATGAAATTTTGCCTGCCTGCTCTGTTCCCTACTCTGTTTCTAGTGAATCCTCTCATGCCCACACCTCTGGCCTATACCACAGTTCTTGTATGCATAAATAGATAAATATTTAAAAAAAATTAGTAGTGTTTCTAAAATAACTCAATTAAAATGGTATATGTACAAATACATGACCCTGAGTACATGTATGTTTGGTCAAATGGGGTAATGTAAATATTGATATTTATGGCTCCTTGATTAGAATATTAAAGCTGATATAAGTATAACTCATGCTAAACATGCTGAGTCATTCAAGTTCTAAAACTAAATTTATACTAGCCAAGTCAACTAATGTGGAAAACACAGAGTCAAAGAAATTTAATTGGGACTGCATTGGACCAAGAGTACTGAACATAACAATGATCTATGTTATCATGTGCTTTTCCCAAAGAATATCTCATACATCCTTAATTCAGTAAGGTAAGAAATGGGAGGTCAGGTAAAGAAGGATAAGTAATGAGACTGATGTATGTGGAAAATAATAGACAATAAATAAAAGACTCAACACTAAGACTAACAAATGATAGAGATCATTTGTTCAGGATGTAACAGACTATTTCAGCAAGTAAATAGACTTTTTGAGTCTTATTATACTTACTATGTACACTTAAGTCATATTTTCTGTCAGTCATCCCTGCCACATTAGCAGCCACACACACGTAACGACCTGTGTCAGATACATGGATGTTCTTCAGCTGAAGGACACGACCTTCATCCAGTATTTCCATTCCCCTTCCCTTGGTCAAAGGGCGGCCATCTTTCATCCAAGTCACTGTCGGCTGAGGAATACCCTGCACCTCACATTCCAAGGAAACACTCTTCCCTCGAGTCACAATAATTTCAGTAGGGTGGCTGCCACTGTTAGATATAGTGGGTCGAACTGGGAAATAAAAAGAAAAAAAACAAAATAGGAAATATTTGCTGTTAAGTCTCATGTAGGAATTTTCACCAACCAATATTAAATTCATTTTTGGCTTTGAAATATTAGCTACCAAAAAAAGATGGACTAACTGGAGTGGCATTGCTGTATGGAGAAGGAGGTTTCTTCCCTAATGTTTCCAAATGGGTTCAAACTGAAAGTAAAGCTGTCAACACAGTGAGGAAAGAATTCTGTGTTTGTTACTTTCCCTACTGAATCTATCACTTCTAACTCTGATTTACAGAAGTCTTCCTAGCACTAATTTTAAAATAGATATAGTAGCCTAGCTCATGCCACAATGTCTGTTACTAATTTCTATCTTCCACCTTCTAGAATAGGAACTAGAAAAGCGAAGACTTTCTCAGCCTTCTCTGAAAATTGATGTGGTCATGTGAATCAGCTCAGGCCTATAAAATTCAAACTGTGGTGGAAGGTGGTTTGGGGAAACATTTTGCTCTCTGGTTAAAAGGGAAAGATACCAATTCCTCTTCTTCTTCTTCTTTTTTTTTTTTTTGCTTTCAATGTGGACTTGGTACCATAGCTGTAGTCACCACCACCTTGAGTCTAGGAAGGAAAGCCCTGGAGACTCCTAAACCAAAGATTCCTGCTGATCAAATACACTGATTGCCAACCTCAGGCTTCCCATTTTGTAAGAAAATACACATCTATTTGTTTAAGTCGCTGATCACCAGTTATTCTGTTGATTCACCTAATAAATACTGAATCCAAGAAAAAAATTAGAAGGAATTTAATACATAGGTGTGTGGGAAGAAAAATAGATCAGTGTTAGCCATTCTTGGTTCTAGAACCAGGTCCTACCACACAGAATTCCTGTGACCTCAGTCAGCCATGGGAACCTCTCTTGATTTAAGTGTCTACATAGACAAAATGGAGGCGATAGCCTTGTCTGGTATCACAGGTAAAGAATGAGATAATATAGATATTTTAAAAATTTAAAGTCTTATATAAAAAAATATGATTTAAAGTGAGGTATTTTTATATATTGGAAATATATCCTATAATACAATGCCATCATTTCCCATTTCATGCAACCTCTATCCTGCTTCCAACAAATTACATTGCTGTGTCTGCCATTGGCAAGTGAAAGAGGAGTGGAAAGCTATATTGCTAACTAAGCAAAAGACAGAAACAAGTACTTGCTCTTTGGTTATGTCAGCACAACTTAATTTGCAGATCTATGAAAGGCAGATTATAATCACATCACTTTGAATGCATCTTGAAATTATGAAGTAAAAGGGAAAGATGGAAAGATTTAAAAGAAAATTGGGTCAAAGCATGGCTAAGCAATGACTTACTGTAAACTTGCAGATTGTAATCTTTCTTTGCAGTTCCAGCAACATTTGATGCCACACATGTATAAAGTCCTGAATCAGATTTTTCAGCAATTGAAATCTGTAACTGTCTACCTCCAGATAAAATTCTGACTCTTCCGGCAGAATCAGCCAACACAGGGGAGCCTGCAAAAACAGAAATAAAGCTAACCAAGCAAAACAAATGGTAAATTATAAGGCAAAAATATGGAGCATTTTGTGTAGATATTCTGATAAGTATAAATACTTGCTAATTTACATCCTAGTCCAATTATCTAAGTCCTATGCAAAAAGATAGAAGAGGAAGTGGTATAGGAAAATAAGGAGGGGAAAAAGGAAAAGTTTACCAAGATTATCTTCTGCAAATTTTTCTTTCAGTAAATGCTGCATTTAAAAAAAAAACACACTTAGAAAATGAAAAAAAATGCTTAAAGCAGTAAAAGTTTTAAGTTAAAAAAGTTGATTTTAAACATCAACTACAAAGTTAGATGGTCTGGCTACACTTTATAGACACAAATAAATATGTGTTGATGAATAGATTGAAAGTCTCTTCAACTGTAGAATTCAATCTTAACATGCCCTGGAAAGCTGTCACATTTACAGCAAAAATGTTTGCTATAGAAAAGTAGTTTTTGGAATGATGGATTCTTGATCATTATAGTTATCCTATGATGCATTTGATTAAAAAGTTATCCATTGATGGAGAAAATTATTTTTTCTTAGGAGCAGGAAGTTCAAACTGAGTATTTTCATCTGGATGATGTAGAAGAATTATTACATGTTGCACATTTACTATAAAGCAATTATGCTGTCTATTGTTTTAGTATATAAACCCCAGGAAAGCATGATAATAAACTGACATGTGCTAAACAAAATAAAAAATTGCTTAATTTTATAATTAATTTTATAAATGCCCAAGAATGAGAACTAACCTTTCTTCTTCCATATGAGATTTGGGGGTGGAATACCACTTGATTCACACAATGGACTAATGGGATTCCCTTCAATAACGGTAAGATGAGCAAGTTCATCAGACCCATAAATATTTGGTGGTACTGAAACAAAAGGACCAGGAAAAAGACTAATTAATACAAAGTAAAAATCAAAATCAACAAGCAACTATAAACCAGAGACACTACCGCCGGTGTCAGGGGGTGGCATAGGGGAGGGGTGGGAAGAGGAAGGACGAGGGTCAAAATAAGGGGGGGGGTGCAATTGTATGGGAAAATAACCAAAATGAAAATGCATACATTGTGCAAAAATGAAAAATGATTTAAGAATTATATAAAATAAATTATTAATAATAAAAAATGCAATTTTAAAGTTAGTTAATATATTACTTAATATAAAATATCCCCCAAATTTTACATATTTAAAAAAAATTCCCAATCACATGATGTAAGGAATTAATATTAGCAGTACAACCACATTAATAGGTAGAATAAATACCTAGCAGTACATTTCTCATTTTCAAAGATAGAACCTTAATTATCAAAACATTCAGAGTGGCTTGAAATGAAGCTCATATAATAGACATTTAGACATTTAGCTTTAAGGAGTTGAGGAATGGAAGAATCTTCCTTACCCCCTCAATGTATCTTCCAGTTATTGTTCAACCACCACTCCATCACTCCCCTCATGTGAAAGCCTCTAATCCTTTGAGGCTCATACTAGCAAGTTCTCTTTCTTACCACTCTCTGTGAACCTGTCATATTTTTTCCATTCACTGAAAAGTCTGGAACTTTTCATCCTTCCTCTTCACATGAAGACCTGCCTCCTCGATGAAAATATGAGAATACATTTGCACGTATAATCTATTGAAACACCTGACTCCTCCATTCCTTGCTCTGATCATCACTTCTCTGCCAGGGATACCCTTTTCATCATCTAAGGTATCTCTCTGATAAATTTGTAAATTTAAAGCATTCTTTGAAACTGTTCTGTTTCCAGTGCTTTTATTGATTGATTGATTGATTGATTTGTTTATTTTAAGATTTATTTATTTATGTATACAAGAGCTGTGATACAGGCCAGCAGTTTGAGGGGTGAGAGGATTCACCAGAGACAGAGTGGGGAACAGAACAGGCAGATCGACTGAAATACACTGCTGAGGGGAGCAGCGGGCAAGACAGGAAAGGTCTGCTGTGTCATGTGGGTAGCTCCATGGCTGGGGCATCGAACTCGTGCTGCAGTGGCTGCAGAGAGTGTCATAGGTTGTGTCTTAACCCCTTGCGCCATGAGTGAGGCCCTCCAGTGCTTTTATTCAACTATTTCCAACTATAAGTTCATTGACCTAATTAAATCTCTAATCCTTTCACCTCACAGAAGTTTCCCAATCTATTTGGCTTACTGACTTCTCTATCTAGCTTGGATTTCACGAGCAATAATTTTAAGTGGCTTGCACTCTTGCCCTTGCTATTTGGCCACACCTTTACTCTGAGTGAATTCTTAGTGTACTCTGTCGTCACCTACACCACAGGGAAAGTAGTACAGACAAAAATGAGAATTGCACAGATTGCCATCAATAGAAATACATGATCCAAAACTCTATCCTCTTAGATGCCTATGGCTTTCATTAGTACAAATACTTGCAAATCTGGATCTGTAATGCAAACTCCTTCTGAGATACAGACTTTTAGACCTGACTACTTAATACTTCAACTTGGATACCTTAGAGGCATTGTCAAACAACCTGTCCACAACTGAACTCAGTCATCTTTGTTCCCTCTCTAAGGAAATAACACTATTGTCCACACAGCCCAGCTGGCCAAACCACACCAACATCTGACATCCAGCTTTTCCTATTCTTGTTTCCACACCTCTCCATCTAATCAATTAATCCTGTTAGTTCAACATCTTAAATACTTCTAGAGTTTATTTACCTCCTTCTTAAAATATAGATCCGAATATCCCAGTCCTTCAAATCCTTGTATGGTATTTTATTGCCTGTAGAATCAACTCCATACTTTCAAATTGATTTTAGAGATCCTTTTCAATCTACCTCTTTTAATCTTTCCTATCTATAGCTCCTCATTACTTACAGACTGCACTAGGCTCCACAATGAGTAATGCTAGGTTCAATGAACACACAGTATGCTGCAAGTGTTTGAAATGCTTCCATCCTCTATAATTAATGATTTCAGATTAACCATTCATTAATCCACTAATCTCTTTATGCCTACAACATGGAGTTACACCATACATATCTTTTGGAGTGATCTATTTTTTGATTTTTGATTTCATAAAAATGGAGCTACCCTGATGCAGCAATTCCACTCCTACAGATTTACCCAAAGACACAAAAACATTGATTTAAAAGAACACCTGTACCCCTATGTTTATTGCAGCACTATTTACAATAGGTAAAACCTGGAAACAACACAAATGCCCAAAAATAGATGACTGGATCAAGAAGATGTGGTACATATACACAGTGGAATATTACTCAGCAATCAAAAAAGATACTCATGCCAATCGCAGCAACATGGATGGAGCTAGAAGGAATTATGCTCACTGAAATAAGTAAGAAGGAAAAAGAAAAATATTGGATGGTTTCACTTATAGGAGAATATAGGGGAATCTTTATTTATTTTTTTATTAGGGTAATACTTGGATATTTCCATAAGGTATCACCGCTGTAGTGCATCCACCACCCAGTCCTCCATCTTAGTCCATTGTGTTTCTTCCCCTATTTGTTCTTACCCATCTTTCACATCTCAACTTTCTCTTCCCTATCACTTATTTTTATATCTAATGCAGTCCATTTCCACTATTACTTTTTTAAGAGACAGTTGGTCGAGTTATTCATAAACTAGGCCTTATAGTTTATGTTGAATTTGGCTTCTCTGCAAAATGTGACATTACCCATCCAAGCATACATTCATCCGTCCATGCATGTTCAACTTATTTGTTGTCTATGTTATCTTTCTGGCAACACCATTGTCATTAATTTCCATGACACAAATTTTACTTTGACTACCCATCCTAAGATTCCTATTTAGAGTCTCTTTTTCTGTTTCCTTTATTATATGGTACATGTGAGTCATTCATTGCAGTGCTTTCCTTTACATATCCTTTTACTCTAAGAGATCTCAATTGTTAGGAATGAATTCACATCTCCACCCTTCTGGATTTAACTCTGACCTCTCTCTCCTAAACTATTTTCTGTGACTGCACAGAGAATAGCTTCACATGGGCAGTCTAAAGGTATCTCCAAGACAGAATTTTAGAAAATGAATTCTTCACCTCTCTTCCTAATTATCACTCATCATTTATTCAACATTTACCAGTTCTTTGTTTTGTCTATACTGAATGTTATATGAATGCCTTTCTCATTTGAAAGAAGTAAAAAAATAGAGGAAAAAGAATGGAGGGAGATAAAAGGATGGAAGGAGGTGGGAACATAAGTTATGACACATAATTAAATATTTAGCAAATATAAATTTACCATATAATAAATTTTGTTATTTAGAAGTTAATTCCACTATGGGGTGAATTATAACACTTTTCAGAATTTTAATAATTCTTTCTTATATATTTTTTGATAATTCTTAATTTTTTAAATGATAAAAATGATTTGTAATTGTTATTCTCCACATAACTGAGTAATTTTAAAGTTCTCCACTGAAATAAAATTATTTCTTCCACCCATTTTTATTTAAAAATGAGTCTTTGAAAGTGATTTTATAAATCAAAAATGAATTTTGTAGAATTCCCAGCCCTTTTTGTTATGGGGCTACTGTCTTGGTGCCCAGGGTTCTTGCTGCTCAAGCAGGCAGCATTTTCTTGCATCAGGGCAAAAGTCCTTGTAGGAGGAACATGCTGGGAAACCAGAATCTGCTGAAAACAGCAGGCAGACATTATGGCCAGATCAGCAAGATCAGCTACCTTATGTATAAAGATTAGCTGAAAGTTATATAAGAGCAGGGACTAGAGGGCCTCCCCAGTGGCGCAGCGGTTGAGCGCTGGGTTGTGAAGCTGCCCGCAGCCTCTGCAGTGCTGGTTCGATCCCCGGCTGCTCCCTGGCCACCAGAGGAGAGTCCCATATGGCACGCTAGACCTCTCCTGCCGCCCGCTGCTCCCCTCAGCAGTGTACTTCTGTCCTGCCTGTTCTGCATCTTGCTCTGACTCTGGTGAATTCTCTCACCCTCCCGCGCTTCTGACTGTACCCAGTGCTTGTATGAATCAATCAATCAATCAATCAATCTTAAAAAAAATTAAAAAAAAAAAAAGAACAGGGACTAGAGATAGTATGCTTTGATTAGCATGAACAATGGAGCCCCCCAAGCAATAGCCCCTGGTCACTCCACTCAAGCTTGCACCAGACAATAAACACCCCATAACACACACCCCCTACACACACACATATACATTTCTCCACATACTTGTCCACTTTCTCTGAACCTGGTTCTAAATAAATACAGACAGCCCATGAATGGGGTTGCACATTACTTCCCAGTGTAGCCCCTCTATGCTTCTCATTGCTCCACATGGACTTTGAGTAATCTTTTCCTCATCCTGCACTGCTCCCACGAGGCAACAAAATTTCAACTCATTATCTCAATAATTAAAATTTTAAACAATAAAATCAAAATTAAGTGGGCTTAATATGCTGTAATTGAATTTAAAGAAGTATGTAAAATAAAGGTGAATATACTGGAAATGAGAACACTTATTAACAAATAGAAGGCAGTTGGAGTTGAGGTAAAAGTAATTACTCCTAAGAAATATTTTAATTAGTGACAGATGGTAAAGTTTCAAGTGAGAATAGCTTTTCTCATTAATCAACATAGTAATTGCATCTCCCACCTGTAGTGCACATTCTTTCATTTTTTTCTCTCTCTTTCTTTCTCTCTCTCTCACACACACATGCACACACACACACACTTGACATACATAGCTTGACCTTCTGACTTATTTTCAATAGAACAACCTACTATCAGTTCATGGAGAAGGCTCATGATCAGAATATTCTGACTGTAGGAGAACATTCTACATCAGTTACAATGAACAATAGGTTTGGGATCAGGAAATCTAACTATAGATGCTCTTGAATTAATTATACAAGCTAATACTCAGTTCAACATCTGAATGTACTGATTATAGTTTTTATGATATCCATAGCTGCTGCACCCCCCCCTGCAGTGACCCTCAGGGCTAATGGCTGTTGCCATGGTCCCTGAGGTCCGGCGTGGGCAAGGAACCATGCGCGCAGGGGGAGAACAGCAAACTCCCTAAGATGCAGAGAAGCCGAATGCCTGCCAATAAATAATGACCACCAGAAGCTGCCACAAAGATGATTAAAAGAAATGCTGACCACCTGGAACCTTATCTCGCTTTCTCAAGCCCCACAAACTTTATTCTGCTACAACTGTCTTTCTAAAATCTTTCCTTTTTCTGGTCATTGATTGCTAATTAAAAAACATACCTAATTTAATAATTAGGTTAATGCAAATGAAACATTACTAAACACTGTGTTATAATAGAATTGTTGGTTTAATAATCTTTCTATTATGTGCTTAACCTTAGTACCTTTGATATTAACTGCATTATAATATAAATTTACCTATGACAATTAATTATGAGTAAACATAAGTAAGTAATAGTAGTAGTAGTTAGTACAAGAATATAGAAAGAGTTAATAACCTGTCCAATTAGGAATGAGGCTAGGTCCAGGTGTAACTTTGGACATAAATCACTGCCCTGTCAATTAAGCTAAGCCTATGAGCAAACTGATCTCTTTGATGTTCACTGTTCCTATGCCTTTAGAAAAAACATATATATACTGACCACTAACTTAATAAAAGTGCACTCAGATTTTCACTCTCTTGAAGTGTGTCTGTGTGTCATTTATTCATCGAATCCCTGACCACCCTGCGCAATCTCTCAACCCTGAGACGTCCTCATCGTCCATCGCTGTGCTGGTCCGCGGCACATAGCTATCACCAATGTATTAAGATGAATTTTAGTTATTTGGATGGCATTTTTAAGAATTGACACAAAGAATAAAAGGCTAAAACCACAGGCTATATTATATGCTTTATAGGGGCTGATTACACTTACCCCAAATGTTGACATTATAATTTTTCTCAGTTTTTCCAGCAATATTTGTTGCCTCACAAGTGTACCGACCAGTGTCTTGAACCTGAGCATCTTCAATCTGAAAATAAAATCATGCATTGGAACCACTGTCTATATTCAAAGTATTGGGATTTTCCTGTTAATGTTATTTGTAATCTCTTATTTTTCATTTGCATTCTGAAGACTTTCAAACATATAAAGAAACTGAGACAATGGTAAAAATGGTGGCTATATCCCAACCACCCACATTCAACACTTATTGAGATTCAACAATTGTCATCTACCATACTTACTTTAATTTCAATATTATTGGTTGAAGGTCTAGAAAGGCCTTCTAAATATGATTCAGATAAAAAAGAAAAATAATCACTTCTGAATAACTTATTTATGGATTTAAAATGTACAATATTTTTATTTACAGGATAATGCTTAGTGAAATAATGCCCTTATTGGCTTATTTCATGTCCCCTCTCCAGACTGGGTTTGTAAGCTTCAAGACATGTATTATAACCAACTAGTCTCAATCTTTAGTGCTCGATAGATAATTGAACATCACTAAATATTTTCTATGTACTCATCATTCATTCATTGATCATTCAGTAGTTACTTAGACCCTTGTGTTAGATACTGCAGTTACAAAGTAATATAGTTTGAAATATGGTTTCTGATTTGAGTTTGTAATCTAGTTGGGAACATAAAGCATGTGGATATAAAAATGTTGAATAATTACATATAAATAATATAAGGTAATACACATACAACAACAAAAATGTGAGATTGCTCAAATGACTTATACTACTTATCTCCATCAGTAATCCTGGCCTTCCTTACTCACTAGTTCCATTACTGTCAGATGATAATTCCCAAGCTCTACACCCCCTTACTTCTATATATACCTTCAAGCTCCCCCTACACTCCCATGCTTCTGTCCTCCTGGTGGAAGGAGGGAAGGAAACTTCTCAGCTTCCTACATGCTGACACTCATCATACATTACTCAAGACTCTCTTTGTCTGCCAGGAATAACCTTCCTTTACCAAGAGGCAATGTGATGCAGTGGTTAGTAGCCTAGGTTCTGAAACTATACTCCCTGTATTCAAACCCCCACTATGCCTCACAGTAACTGTCGGCAGATTATAGAGCCATCCTTGCAATTTCTCAAGAAGATTAATGGGAATTTTATAAACATTCCAATAGCCTGCTGTCTTCCTGAATCTTAATTCTTTAGGCTGGTTTTCAATATTAGCTCTTATTTTATTTAAATCAATCTTGTCAACATTATTTCTAAACATTCACTTTGTTAACTTGCTTTTTCAGCCACATTAGCCTACTTGTTTTCATTAAATGGGTCTTTTGTCCCAACTACTTTTAAAAAGCCAAGTTTTCCAGGTAACTACACCCTCACCTTTGATTATCTTCCCAATATGTTTGTTTGTACCAACTCAAATTTACAGCATTTTCCAACTGAACTGTTAATTTCTCATATATTTATGTGATACTGGAAGACACTGAGAGCAAGGAATATTTCATGTATTTTTTTGTCCCCATTTACAATACCTATAATGCGTATTTGCTGATTGGCTAAAGATGAAATACTCTCTAGAATATTTCCACAATATTATCCTAGAAGCATTTGTTTCAAGTGGCTTCTGGCTACAAAAATGTATTAACAATTAAATAGTTAAATCTTACTAAGTATAAAATTTTAAAAATATTATAGACCTTATTAATAAAAGCATTCTTAAAATCTTGTAAGTGAAATGGTAAAAAGGAGAGTTGAGTTTAATAGGCATAATATTGAAATAAGAGTTTAGGACTAATGTAAGAAAAAATACATGACTCTAGCCTTACCTTTAATGCACTTCCATTTTCAGAGATATGGAGACCTGGTTTCTTCAGCATGGGGCGGCCATCTTTAAGCCAAGTCAGAGTTGGTGGGGGAATAGCATCACTTTCACACAGTAACTCCACAGTTTGGCTAATGAGGACAGAGACGTTCTGTTCTTCTCCCATAATATTTGGTGGAACTAAGTGAAAGATAGTTTTCCCTCAGGATAAAGCAGGCAAGCACACTGTTTATCTTTATTAAATATCAGGACATATATTGAATAACTTCATTAATTAATTTAGGATGTAGAATCATAATCATTCTACCATATGCTTTGTGTCATTTGGTTCAGAATCAAGTGTTAATAAATCACTGATTAATGTGTTCCTGTTGAACAAAAATCATTTTCATAGTTAAAATCATTTTCAAAGTGAAAAGATAGAGCAATTTCAGCAAGGGAGTCTGGCTAGATGGCTGTGGTAAATATATTGGGCTCACATACACTAGGCATGCACAACAAAACAAATAAAACCAAAAATTCAAAAACCCCTAAGGGAAAAATTGGTTATCAGTGTACTCAATAGGAGCAGTAGCCCTACTGAAAGGGGTGCAGTACAACCCACAAGAAGACAGAGTGACTGCTGTGCAGTCTTTGACTTTGGTACACCCCAACATAAGGGCTCTTAAGACCAAACACTGCACCAGAGAAGGGGATACACAAGGGGATATATAAGGCAGGCAGGATCAAAAGTGTATTGTGGGAGAGGTACTGAGGTGAAAGCAGAGAGCAGTGAATACTAGCTTGAGTCTGAGGCTCATAACACAGTATACCTGTGGACTGAATCAGATCAGAGTACTTTGACTTCCATGTAGAAGAGATTACTAGACCGGGTGCACAGGGAGTGCGTCCAGCATCGCCATTTTAGAACAGTGACATTTCTTCAGTAAAGACTGCTTGAAACCAGCAGAAGGCTCCAGAGGAGCCAGAGGTGAGCTGGGAAGTCTGCCCATGACAGGCCCCTTCTGGCCTGCAGTCCTAGCCCAGAGGGGGAGCCGGAACCCACTACCGGGGCAGAACAGGCATGCAGGGGAGCGTGTCCTCGCATCTGCATTTTAGAACAGAGACCTTTCTTCAGTAAAGACTGCTTGAAACCGACAGATGGCTCCCGGAGGAGCCAGAGGGGAGTGGAGAAGTTCACCCAAGATGCCGGCCAGTCCGAGCAACACAGTGTCCCAATGCATACGGCAAATTAGAAAACAGACAGTAGGGAGTAGAAGAACCACACACAACCTAGCAACTCCTCAGGAAAAAAAGCACACCACAAAAAGAAAACCACCCCCCAGGTTGCAACGACAGTAACTTGGAAGAACTTCTGAACCTTCCAGAAAGAGAATTTAAAATTGCCATGATTAAAAACTGACAGAAGTCATAAAGGAAAACAATGATAAGGGAAAAATAATCAACGATCAGAAGAATGAAATTGAGTCCCTAAAGAGGGAAGTAAAAGAAATGCAGGAGATCAAAGAATTAATGGAGGCACTAAAGAACTCTGGGAAAAGCAATGAAAGCAGAATAGATGAAATGGAAGAATGAATAAGTACACTTGAAGACACAGAAATAAAAAGAACCAAAACAGAAAAGGAAAGAGAAGTATGTAGGAAAAAGACAGAAGAAAGACTTCGGGAACTATCTGACTCCATGAGGAAAGGAAATATAAGAGTTATAGGAATCCCAGAAGGAGAGGAGAGATATGTAGGAACAGAGAAAATATTCAAGGAGATAATTAAAGAGAACTTCCCAAACGTGAAGAAGGAGCTGAAAATTGATATACAAGAAGCAAGAAGAACACCCAAACTTCCATGACAAAAGGAAAAATACAGCAAGACACAAAATAGTAAAGCTCCCAAGAATCCAAGACAAGGAAAAAATAATGAAGCTGACAAGAGGGAAGAAACAGATAACATTCAAAGGAAAACCAATCAGGCTGACATCAGACTTCTCTGAAGAAACACTACGGGCAAGGAGAGAGTGGAGGGACATAGTCAACAGACTCCAAGAAAACAGATGCCAACCAAGAATACTCTATCCCGCAAAGCTCTCATTCCTCTTTGAAGAAAGAATAAGGACCTTCCCAGACAAACAGAAACTCTGGAAATTTCATTACGACTAAACCCCCACTCCAAAAAATACTACAAGGAGTCCTAAAGCCAGAACCTCAGAGGGACGAATAACAACGAAAGAAGGCCAAAAAAAAAGTGACTAAAAGAATAAATAAATAAAATCAAAGGAAAGACAAACACAATGGCAAATACAGATGCTAACATATCAATATTAACTCTAAATGTAAATGGACTAAAGTCTTCAATAAAAAGACACAGAGTCGCAGGCTGTATTAAGAAACAAAACCCAACCTTTTGCTGTCTCCAGGAAACACATTTAGCTACAAAAGATAAAAACAGACTCAAAGTTAAAGGATGGAAAACAATCCTACAAGCAAATGGACCAAAAAAGAAAGCAGGAACAGCTATACTTATATCAGATAAAACAGATTTCAAACTCAAAAAGATAAAAAGAGACCCCAATGGTCACTAAATTATGATCAAGGGGACAATACTTCAAGAAGAAATAACACTCATTAACATATATTCACCAAACGAAGGAGCACCAAAATATATCAGACAACTATTGTCATCTCTCAGACATCAGAGAAAACACATACGTAGTGGCAGATTTCAACACACCACTATCAACAATGGATAGATCAATGAGACAAAAAATAAGTAAAGACACTAAATCTCTATATAAAGATCTAGAGCGCTTGGGCTTAACAGACATCTATAGAACACTAAACCCAAAAAAAAAAGGAGTACACATTTTTCTCAAGCACACACTGATTGTTCTCCAGAATCGATCACATACTGGGACACAAGACAAACATCAACAGATACACCAAGACCGAAATCATACCAACCATCTTTTCTGACCATGAAGGCATCAAACTAGAAATAAACCATAAAAAGAAGGCAAGGAACTATACTACCTCATGGAGATTGAAAACCACAGTACTGGAAGACCACTGGACCAATGAGGAGATCAAAGAAGAAATTAAAAAATTCTTTGAATTGAATGACAAGGAGGACACCAATTACCTAAATGCATGGGATGCAGCAAAAGCAGTAATAAGAGGAAAATACATAGCTATAGAGGCTCACATCAAGAAACAAGAAAGAACTCAAAGAAACAACCAAATCTTGAAGCTCAAAGATCTAGAAAAAGAACAACAAAAAAACCCCAAAACCAGTAGAAGAAAAGAAATAATAAAAACCAAAGCAGAAATAAATGAAATTGAAACTAAAAAAAAATCCAAAAGATCAATGAAACCAAAAGCTAGTTCTTTGAAAAAATCAATAAAATAGACAAACCCCTAGCCAGGCTCACAAAGGAAAAAAGGGAGAAAGCATAAATAAACAGGATCATAAATGAAAGAGGAGAAATCACAATGGACACAGCAGAAATCAAAAGAATAATCAGTAACTACTATGAACAGTTATATGGAAACAAGTTCAACAATCTAGAGATGGACAAATTCCTACAACTCTACAATCACCCAAAGCTAGATAAAGAAGAAATAGAACACCTAAACAGACCAATTACAAGCAGCGAATTGAAATGGTAATCAAAAACCTCCCCAAAAACAAAAGCCCAGGACCTGATGGATTTACAAATGAATTCTACCAAACATTCAGAGACGAATTAGTGCCTATCCTTCACAAACTCTTCCAAAAAATTGAGAAGGAAGGGACAATACCAAACACGTTCTATGAAGCCAACATTACACTAATACCAAAACCGAACAAGGACAACACAAAAAAGGAAAACTACAGGCCAATCTCTCTAATGAACACTGATGCAAAAATCCTCAATAAAATTTTAGCTACCAGAACCCAACAATGTATCCATAAGATAATTCACCACCACAACCAAGTAGGATTCATTCCAGGGACACAAGGATGGTTCAACATTCGAAATTCAATCAACATTATCCAACACATCAACAAAAAGAAATACAAATACCATATGATAATATCAATAGATGCTGAGAAAGCTTTTGACAAAGTGCAACACTCATTCATGATAAAAGCCCTTGAAATTCCTGGGATACAAGGAACATACTCAACATCATAAAGGCCATCTATGACAAGCCAACAGCCAGTATCATTCTCAATGGTGAAAGGCTGAAAGCAATTCCATTAAGATCTGGAACAAGACAAGGATGTCCACTCTCACCACTGCTTTTCAATATAATTCTGGAAGTCCTAGCCAGAGCAATAAGACAAGAGAAAGACATACAAGGAATCCAAATAGGAAAAGAAGAAGTCAAACTATCACTATTTGCAGATGATATGATAATATACATAGAGAACCCCAAAAACTCCACAGAAAAACTAATTCAACTCATCAATCAGTTCAGTAAAGTGGCAGGATACAAAATCAACATGCAAAAGTCAGGAGCCTTCCTATACACAAACAATAAATCTGAAGAAGAAGAAATAAAAAAAATCCCTTTTATTATCGAAACAAAAAAATCAAATACTTGGGAATAAATCTAACAAAAGAGGTAAAGGACCTACACAAAGAAAACTATAAAACACTGTTAAAAGAAATAGAAGAAGACACAAAGAAATGGAAAGTCCTCTCCTGCTCATGGATTGGAAGAATAAGCATTATTAAAATGGCCATCCTACCAAAAGAAATATACATAGATTACAAAAGAAATACATAAATATACATAAATATACAAAAGAAAAATACATAAATATACAAAAATATACAAAAGAAATATATATAGATTCAATGCTATTCCAATAAAAATTTCAATGTCCTTCTTCAAAGAAATAGAACAATTATTGATGAAATTCATATGGAATCACCAAAAACCCCAAATAGCCAAAGTGCTCCTGAAAAAAAAAGAAGGGAATGGAGGCATCACACTCCCAGACTTCAAACTATACTACAAAGCCATAATCATCAAAACTGCATGGTATTGGAACAAGAACAGACACACAGACCAATGGAATCGAATAGAAAATCCAGAAATAAACCCACAGATTTGTGGTCAACTAATCTTTGACAAAGGAGCAAAGACTATGCATTGGAGCAAAGAAAGTTTGTTCAATAAATGGTGCTGGGAAAACTGG